TACCAGCACAGAAAGAAAAGACGAAGAGGAGAAAGTTAAAATGTGCTGAATTAGATATTGCTTGATATATGAGTGTAAAGAAAATAGAAAAAGGAATCTAGATTTCCTGATTATGTTTACAAAGAATATATGGATGTCAGACATGAATTTCTCGTCAAAAGTTTGACAGTTATTTTTCTGAGTTACTCGAAGGATAACTTACATGTTTTTGACAGACAGTTGGTTATTACGCTTCAATTAGAATCTGTTTAATGATGTTGCTGTAACGATCTTTTATATAGAAAACGTCGTCTTCGTAAAGTTACTACTTGTGAGATACAACATGAGAGTAAAAAGGTACTCAGTGGGAGAAAATGGTTTACCTCATGCTTATGTTTTATTCCCCATAGATTTTTGTCTATAAATAGCTTCTTGATAGAAATACCAGATGGATATAAGGGAAGATATTTTCTTCCCTTGTATTATAGAGAAATCTTTGAAGAAAGTTTTCGTTATATTTCATGAAATTATTATATATTATTCAACCAAAATTTTCGATCCTTCTCACGTGTCATACCGAAAGTTTCAACATCGTTCTTGTATTCAAGAATCTCATTTACTTTAATGAATCGTCAGATTGAATGACATTATTTATAACGTATGACTAGTTGATTACATACGAGTTCACATTAAATCACTACCTTCAATACTCTTTCGACGAGTGTAAAAGTCTACAATAACATTTAAATGTGACTGATTGATTACTCATACTAGTACTTATCATCTGTTCATACAGGTGCGATTTGTCTAAGTGCATTAGCCAGGTAGAGCAAATGATAGACGATCTTAATTAGGACTTGGGTCAAGGTAAGGAAGTAAGTTGTCATGATATATCAAGGCACGAGTGGTTATCGATATGTAATGCATACACACGCACACACCCGAAGTGCAAAAGCATGAAAAAACTGAAACTAGAATAAAGTTATGGTTGAAATGTCATGAAGACATCGTGTTTCTTATTGCAGATCGAAACAGAAAACAAATAAGTTATTTTGATTAAATACGAAGAAATATTCATTGGATTTTTTTTCGCTCTAATTATTATCAATTTCGGCACATTGCGTTCATGTATAAAACAAGATTGGTAATATAGATGCAATTACTGATGCATATTTCATATATTTTAAACTTTTTTCCTCTTCGCACATTTTCATTTTTCATTGATTTATGAGTTGCATTGTTAACTTGTCGATGCGCATCACTGCACTGTAATATACATGTTGTATCGGTATATCCTACATGGATCCTTGAAAAAGCCACTGTACACGTATGACCGTAGATACAGTTTTATGTTCCTTGATGGTTATCGATAGAATACCTAAAAGTATGCGATTGAAAGACGACTCTTCATATTGTCATAGGTATATCTCTGATTTTAAAGTAAGTGAACAATCATCGAAAACCGCACAGCGATGGCTTTTTTATCTTTCAAGCATGTCTTTTTTGTCCGTCAAGGTGATCAATCATATGCGCACGCCGATTTATTTCGTATAGCAGAGTATATATGCACGCAAAAGTAAGTAAAAGAGAAAGCGAAAGATTCAGAAGGCAACTACCATGAAGGTCGAATATCTGCATATGCAAGCGGTGTAAAAACGCGCAATGTTCTCTCTTACTCTTTCCTCGTTTTCTTTTCTTTTCTTTTGCTGGGCTGATTATTTCGCACATTATTTTCATGTATACATGAACAGGTGTACTTCTCGTTGCACTACAATATATTGGGTATTCCTTACAACAAAGGAAATAATAGTAGTGTGTTAGAGCGTGTTACTTCGACAGGAGAATTAGTAATTGATAAGCTTTTATTTCATATTTTAGATGATTGAGAGAAGTAAATAGTAGTATAGACGAAATGCCGTTGCAAGATGTATCAAATGATCAGTCGATGATCAGTTGGCTTCAACAGTCTGGTCATGGACATTTACTTGGTGATCAACAGGCCAATGCCAGTCCCCCATCTCCTCCGCTTAATAACTCCTTAGGATTAGGAACTTCATCAGCAACTTATCCACCGCCAACATCTTCGCCACCGCAGAATTCCGTCGGCGGTAGTGGTGGTTTCAATCCTACTAGTGCTCCACCAAATGCCCTTCATCGATCAGTATCCTTTCCCCAAGCAGACCATCATTTAACAAATGCGTTTGCTGGCGGTCACAATCCAGCATCGCCGCCAATCATACCTCCAACAGACCATTATAATACTTCACCTTATAACCAACAATCAAGTCCAATAAACTTCTCTTCAACATCTCCTACACATTTAATTTCGGCCAACGCAAATCAACAACAACTTGATGCTGACATCGAAGTAAATCATATTCTATATATCAATTCTCAGAAGGCAAAAAATGATCTTCTACACCTTTGTAGAATATGAAACGTGATCCAAATACACGAGTGGTACAGCGTCCACCAGAAGAAGATGTCGTCTACAAACAACGTGTATGCAACGATCAGTCACGAAATATTTCTCCCATTCGTTATTGTAGGTTTTTGTAAGATATTTACAACCACCGACACCGCCTGTTGGTGGAACGATCATTGTTCGAGAGAAACAACCACCACCACCACCACCCGATCCACCAATTGTAAGAAAGAAAATTTTGAATAAGCATTTAGTACATTTATTTTCCATAGGTCATCAAACGCGCACCACCCGCGCCGCCGACTCCACCACCTGTTATCATTCGCGAAGTTCGTTCATAATATTATATTTTCTAACATAATGTATCCCATTGAATTATTCTAGCGTCCACCGCCATTACCAGCACCTGAAGGTCAATAATCACATACTTTCACACAAATTTATATAATCAGAATTTCATTTATATCCGAATAGGTACCACGGTGATTGACAAAATTGTGCCACCTGGTCCAAAGCCACAACGTCAAGTAGTGATTGAACAATATCCACCTCTACCTCCTAAACCCCAAGACGTTATTATCGAACGATGGCTCCCAATGGCGCCACGACAACGGCGTATTCTCTATGAACGCTTACCACCTACCAGTCAAATACAAACACGGCCCGTTATTGTGCAATACGGCCCACCACAAGTTCGTGTCCAACGTGAACTTATTACAGCACCTGGAATTCATCTCCCAAACCAACAAATAGGAGGTCGTACAGATATCAACCAGCTCCTAGGCAATCAACAGATTCAATCTTCAGTAAGGATTTGTGCACTAATTGATCGGAAGATCTATGACTACCTGCACGTTCATTTCTAGTTTCTTCCTTCTTCTCTTGTTTCTTACAATCCACATACAGCGATACAGCCAAACTACGGTGGTTTAGGTCAGTCTCAACCAAATGTTGTAATCTTGCAAAATGGACAACCAAACACACTTCCACCATCTATCTATGGAACACCATTAACGTGTGTCTGCACACCAAATCAACCTGCAGGTTTAGGAGCCTATGGGTCAAGTGTATCGTCATTACCACTTGTCGGTCAAGCTTCCGGACAATCAATGATTTACAATGTCCCCGGTATGAAACTTATTTTCATATATATACTGAAAAATTATGAAACAATCACTTTCATACATTTCTGTTGTCATTCTAGATACAGTACCCATCGACAACATTCTTCGTCAACTTGGTATTGATCCAAGTACGATACAACGATCTGGCAGTCATCCATCAGCAGGTATCAATTGGTCTTGACGCATATATTTAATAGCATTATGGCATGTTAGAACAAACTAACATATGCTGACACGTTTATATTTATATTAGTTTACTAAACGCTACTATATCGCTAATGACGATTGATATGTAGACATGATGTTTGCAATCAGATGTCCATCAATAGAAATCACATATTTACTATATAAAAACATATCATAGAGTAGTATGTGTAGTATATTAACAATAATCATGTCTGAGATTTAATATTTCATCCATACAGGTCCACATACTTCTGTCTCACATGTGTGGGATGCTGCTTCTCATGCAAATCCTCTGCACACGAGTAAATTTTAAATTGCTTTCTGTTGTCTAGAGTTGAAAATTTCTTTTCTTGTTTAAAAAGACCCTACTTCTGCAGTATCACATGTATGGAACGCTGCTTCTCACGCAAATCCTTCACATACGAGTAAATCTTGAATTGCTTTCTGTTGTCTAGAATTGAAACTTTCTTTTCTCGTATAAAAAGACCCTACTTCTGCAATGTCACACGTGTGGGATGCTGCTTCTCACGCAAATCCTTCACATACGAGTAATCTTGCATTGCCTTTTATATTTTACGATTCGACGCTTTTGCTTTATTTTTCGTTCGACAAGATCCTATTTCTGCGGTTTCTAATGTCTGGAATGCTGCTTCTCATGCAAACCCTCCGCATATATCAAGTACATTTTCAGTTGCGTTAACTACTTTTATTAAAACAATCTTTTCTGTGTAAAGCTCCTGGTTCTGCGGTTTCTCATGTCTGGAATGCTGCAGCACACGCCACTGATTACAATCGCCCGCCTTCTCCTGCTATAGGAAATGCTTGGAATCGCATCGAAAACTATCTGCATCCACAATCTACCGGTAATTGACAATTACTCCTTTATAAGTCCTACACTACTTTCTATTTCATCTTTTCCACGCTCAGACCCAGTTCGATCTGCCTGGAATCATATTCCACATCCAAGTTCACCTCCACCACCAGCGAATTATCCGCCACCAAACTATCCTCCGCAAAACTATCCTCCGCAAAACTATTCTCCTCCGCCTCCATCAAACTATCCTCCGCCAAATTATTCGCCTCCACCTCCATCAAACTATCCTTCGTTCCAACAGCCACCACCACCTGGCAGTGCTGCATCTAGTGTATTAGGTCGTCTGTTGGGAGGCGGTGCTCGATAGAAGAAAAGAAAAAAAATCTGTCGTATTTTTTTTCTTATGATATATATTCAAATAATAGACAAAAAACGATCGTAAAATTTTCATTTTGTTTAGCTAATTTTTTTGTTATACACGATGTGTGCGAGCGTTGGCAAAGGTACGTGGTTCAGGTAAAGGCATCGGATGTAGCATAGACATTGAATTTGATATGGATGGTGTCTTTATCGTTTCATAATAAATCGAATCAGTACGTGGTATTGAAGAAAATAAAGGTGGACCAGGATACGGTGGCGGTTCATAACAATCGTTCATTGACATTTGATTTCGGTCTGCATAGTAAGACGGGGGGAGATCATTTACATCGGGTGCTGGAGTATAACGTTGACGAGGAACGTTCGACGATGGAGTTAATTGATGTTGTTGAAGAATAGCCGATTCCAATGCTGATCGATGCGTGGGTTTTCGATTCGAACTCGTAGTGAATAATTTGTTTGTACATAGAAACAACAACTGGGGACGTTTGCGAATTATATAAATAAGTAAGGAAATAAGTGAAACAAAAAGTAGGATACCGCCGGCGAGCAATGCTAAACAGAGAGAAATACAGTCGAATTTCGGCACAAATATGTCTGGTGTACTTTACCCGAATAGCGAAGTGCATCGAAATTGTATGATGATAAGGATGAATCACCGGCGGAATAAATATCAGGATTGAGTGTACTACCTAGATAATACAAAATGTAAACAAATACTTTTCACCAAAAGATTCCTCAACGTGATGAACTTACTGCGTTCTCGAAGATACTGTTCGCAAGCAATTGTATTTCGATATGTTAAACAAGTGACTCGTCCATAAGTGGGACATGCTATCCGACAACTGACATTATTTCCTTGCAAACAAGCATAAACATCACCTTGACAATAACCTGAAAATAGTATTTATAAATACATTCGTATTCATTCTATTGAAAAGAAGAATCGACTACAAAGAAAATTTAATTTGTCTTGTCTAATAGAAATAGGAAACACGCGGCATGGAAAGAAAACCTTGTCCTAATGCATTGTAATGATATAGACAAACAATGTTTCTATTACATAATCAACGAGTAGAAACTTCTTATAATATGATTTTCTTTTGAATAGATTATTCCTCAAGAAGAAAAACTTACAATTATGTTCATCTGAACCATCCAAACATTGACTTCGACCATCACAAACGGCCGTCCAAGACACTTCTTTTCCGTTTCTACATATGAAATATGCATTCATATTCTCATCAGCAATCGTGCTAAAAATCAAATGAGAGAATGTTAATGAATGTGATCTATCTTATCAGGTTAAAAGAGTGAAGAAAAAACAGAGAACGCATGCAGAAAAGAAAGATGAAAAGACTTGTCAAGCATATTCTATCTTAATAACATGAATATGATCGATAGAAATCAGATTCGAATGTTAAATTAGATTCTTGTCTATGTTCAAGATCAAGTTTACTTGATTGAACTTACCTTCGATTCATCGTATAAACAAAAAAACAACTGTTGACGATAAAACTTGTCTGATTGAAAAATCAATTGGTCGAACAGAAATTAATTGTTTTCATAGCTCTTATTCTNTCGAGCGCTTGTTCGATCGAGACGAAATAAACATGTTGGTGATCTTCACTATTTAGGATATATTCGATGAAACGAATCAACCCTTCTAAACGTTTATTTTGATGATCGGCAAGCCAGAAAAGATCTAGTTCGATTATAAACGGAGATCGTTGACCGAGTTGCAGCGATGAATGACGATCGAAATTGTATTTAATTAAATCAAAGAACGAATCGGCTGACTGCATTTCATCCTCGGGTAAACAAGATGAATTAGAAAGCGTTCGACAAGTTGTACTTGCTAAAAATTGAAGAGAAAGACAAGATTCACTTCTAGTACTTCAATATTCGATTTACTTTTCGGATGACTCCATTCATGTAACGGAAATTGCCATAGGGCATCGATGGTTTGATTGGATTCATCACAATTAATACAGTCAGTTGTATTCGGCAAGTAATTCATCGTAAATGGCCAAATTAAATTCGATGATTTGAATAGCATAGATGAATCATAATGAAAATGATAATTTCGAATTAAATTCAAATGTTTGTTTTCGTCGATTTGTAAATGCGGAACGCGAAAACCTTTGAGATGAGATTGATGTATGTGCGATTGATCGATGAGATTACTTCGTTGTTGTTTGATTTCACGTTTCCAATCATTATCGATCCATCGACGCCAGTGATTCTCTTCGTAACAATTGGTTAATGGACATCTTTGAAAAAAGGTGATCGAAATGGAAACGAAAGAGATGAGCGAAGATACCATCGTACCGATTACTTGAAGTTGTCATAGCTATTTCATTTCGATTGTTGAATAAACGTTGTACTAAACAATAATCTGTGTAGTTGTCATTCACAAAGAATGTTGATGATATGGGACATTTATTTGGGTTCCGATGAGCAGGATTAAGCAGTGAACGAATTGGATCGAACGTATGTTGATTTAAATTACCAACAAAAGTGAAGAGCACCTAAGAGAAACGATCGAACAATCATGAAAACAAGTTCTTTTTTTTCAGTTAATTACAAATTGAGGAATGTCAGTGACATTGAATGGCGTAGGATTTCTATTTGTCACAGGACATTGACAGCATGGCAGTTGACAATTGATTTTACCACAGGTTTTCTCATCAGTAGATACAAAGCTGAATGTGAAAAGTACACAGATTAACGAATATCTAAGAAACTGAGGTAGCATCTAAAGAAAATTGATGTATTTGTTCGTTAGGAGATATCGGTACACGAATAGTTAGTTAGTCTTTCTTTTCGATGCACATCATAACAAAGGAATCGTTCGATAGAGGTAGAACATTTCGTTTCGTATCTTTTTGATTGGTACGTACATATCCATCGCTATTCTTGTAGTACACAGATGAATCTTTAAACGGTGAACATTTTATTCAATAATCAATCATAGAAAAGAAGAAAAAGCACTTTTAGTTTTTATCGACCCCCAAATGTAAATGATTTATCAATAACCTTCTTGTTTCTCAGCAAAATCAAAAACTCATATCCTAGAGTAGCTGCTGCTAAACCCGTGATATTCGCATTATCGTAAGGTGGAGAAACTTCGACAATATCCATGCCGACATAATTAATCGATCTTAATTGGCGAACAATTCCAAGCGCTTGTGCTGTTGTTAGTCCTCCACAGACAGGCGTACCTGTACCAGGAGCAAATGCTGGATCAAGGCAATCAATATCAAAAGTTAAGTACGTTGGATTATTGCCAACTCGATTTTGAATTTCTGCAACTACTTCCTCAATCGTATGCCGATGAACCCAATTTGCATCGAGAATTTTTACTCCCATGAAATCATCATTATATGTTCGAATACCAATTTGGATAGATGTTTTAGGATCGATGAGTCCTTCTTTGACAGCATAATAAAACATAGAGCCATGATTCAAACTGTCGGGATGTTTATCTGGCCATGTATCACAATGGGCATCGAATTGAACAAGAGACAGAGGCTTGCCGTGTCGAGCGACATGAGCTTTTAGCAATGGATATGTAATGTAATGATCACCACCTAAAGGTGCGTAACAAAAATGCAATGTATAGTGAAGAAAATGTTAGTTAACCTAATGACAGGAGAAAAACATTTCGATCAATGATCTTTTTTGCATGATTTTCGATGGCCAATGGAATGCTTTTCGGTTGACCTTGGTCAAACCAACAATCACCATAGTCGACAACAGCTAAATCTTCGAAGATTTCTAGTCCATCCGGATAACTTTTCAATTCACCGAGTTGAACAGACGCTTCACGAATACCTTTCGGACCGAATCGAGTGCCAGGGCGATAGGTCGTTGCTAAGTCAAGTGGAATACCTGTTACAGCTACATCGACACCTTTCAAATTTCGAGTGTAATTTCGGCGAAGAAATGATAAAATGCCCGCATATGTCTGTTCAACGGTTGAACCATATAGTTCACTTCGACGAATGGCTCCATCACCACGTAATTCAGAATGGTCATCTGATAATACACTAGTGTGTGTCGTTTTAGTAGATCTCCATCGACATGATGCGCGATACGCAAATGTAAGACACCGTGAGGGAATTGTCTTCAACATTTTTTTTTGGGTACTGAAGGTCGAAAAGAAACAAAAATACGACTTACTTTTTTTATTTATCAGTATGTTTTCATTCCAGATGTCCTTCTCAATCAATGCAAGAAAGCAAAATATTTTTTCTTCCTATTGGCTTGTGAATCTCCAGCAAGCATTCGGTTCGGTCATAATAATTAACGGACCGACTGGTATAAATACCATAGTACACAATCAAATCGTTTCCAATTTACTGAGGACTCTGAGTTCTCTGATGGAAATATGAATAAAATGAATATTGTTTGCACCTGAATAACTTTCTTCTGACGAACGCTCGTTGAGACCTTACAGTGAATAGATTTTTCTAGGTGTTCTCTACTACTCCATGAAGTTCATATGTACTTATAATTGATAGTATAAGATTTATTTATGTATTTCTTTAGAGTTGCATAATCCGATTTTGTTGTTATTATGGCTAGTATGATCAATCATCTTCAGGTTAATCGATTATCGATTTTTTTGTCCCGGTTCTATTATTCGTGTTTGTAGAAAGCCCTTCGTCATCATGCTCCGGTGATTCGTTTTCGATATGGTGCAAATCATACAGATCCTCATTCATCCAGTAAATATGCACAGTTTTGAGTAAAAAGCGAATCAATCTTTTTGTCTCAGGTCACCATGAATCGGAGAATGTATCTGCATCACCAACATCGACAAATAATAACCAATTCAAATCTAGTGGGATATCGACGACATTAGAATTTTCTCAAACACCACAAAAATACCGTCGACAACCATTAACGCAAGATGAGATCGACCTAGTCAATGTAAGAAATCTTTTCATTCCTCTCTATCTTCAATTTACTGCTCTGTCTACTCAGATTGGTGGGTTTACTTGATTTCAAACCTTCTGGTTTTCAATCGATTCTCCCTTTCTATCATGTAGAACCTTGATATGAATTTATTTTTCAAAATAAAATATAAATAACTTTAGCGTATACGTGGCCGGTATCGTCCATTACGTTTATCAGTCGGATCGAGATCCAATACTTTAAATGCACTTGATACACGTGGCGCTGGTTTCCAATTATCCAATTGAGCAACTTCGTCAATAATATTCTCCTGTTCTTGTTTTTTTAGTTTCTCAGCAAATTCTTTTTCGTCGATAACATGAACTGTTTCGTTTGTCATTGGTACAACAGCTTTAACAAAAACATGTTCCGTTTTCTTACGTCCGAACTCGACAACGGGTAATGTTGTACCAATTTTATGAAAACCTGGTGATTCTTCAACGATTTGATAAGTTTTATCACCTTCGGATCTCTTTGGTATACCATTTCGTCGGTCGAACACAAGTTTCTTACGGCCAATTTGTGACATATGCATATCTTGATTTCCTAAATCTTCTATTGATCGAAGATGTATATCAGCAAAGAGATTTCGTTTCGCTGGATTGTGATCTACTGATTCGTCAGTGACGTAAATCCATTCATTCATTGAACGTTGCCAATTTTGTGGATGCGGCCGGGTAAAGCGAATATTACGTTCGATAAAAGCAACAGGTAAGGTAGGTTTACCGTCTGGATGTTCTGGTGGAGCGGTGTAATGAACACGAGATTGCCAATCAGGTCCGAAACTTTTAATAAATAATAGAAGAATAATTGAAAAGAAAAAGCGTCTGCGATACGATATTTACATAAGAAGAAACAATCAAATAAAGAACGACAACTGCTATATGTTTGATAGGATTGTGTCAAATTTCATTGATTTTTTTCTTCTTCTCCTCCTCTTCTCATTCACATTTTCAATAAAGGCACTTACTTTGTGTATACAGGTTCGATATGCCGACCGTGTGGACGCCATTGTTCATCAATATTTCGCGAAGCTGGTGCTGAACAGATCTGTGTGCGGCGACGAAATCTAACATTTGCATCGTTAATAGTAGTTCGTTGTTTTTCCGGAAAATGTCGCCGATCAAAACCTAGATGAAGCAAACAACGATGGTTTATGCGATGATATTTTTCTTTGAGTACCTCGATAACCGCCCTTTTCTAGCTCATAGTGAAGATGCAAAGTTTTCGCATTGACATGAACCATGGATTAGTTCTTTCAATGATCGATTAGTCGAATTCAATGATCGTAAAAGCATATTTCATTTTGTTCTGTTTAAATTGTTGCCAACAAACCTCCTTCGAAATCGTAAAAATTTTTTTTCATTTTCTACCGGCTTTGTTTATTGATCTTCATTTCAAATATTTACCTTTGATGGAAAAAATGTCTCACAAGATTTGCACCGGCGCGGTTTATCAGCGGTAACATCATCGAATGCAAATATAGTTTACAAAACTCATCTAGACATGCGATAAAATAAATGTTACTGGATAAACCTAATGACATTATAGAAGCATCGCAAGGAGTTCAACCTTGTAGATTAATACCCATAATGCATCTAATTGAACAGAGTATCAACAAAAACCGCTATGTTCTCGTTTACAATCATGTGAAATCTTGAGGTACGAATGCACTCAAACGAAGAATTGCTTTGCACATAACAAGTCCAGCGTATTCAAGTGATTTATTTCAATGATTGCAAGATAGAAAATAAAGAGTTTTACACTTGAATACAACACGACAATAAACGAAAATTGGAACGTATAAAACAAATCTATGTGGTGATATTCTTTGATTTTGGAGTATGTAGAACATGGATGACACATTCTGTCAACTGATATTTCTCATCAAGCATCTTCGAGTTTGTGTAAAGGCTTTTCGTTGTGTTCTTCACATTATTTTATCAGATATAGTAAAGGTAAAGAAGAAAAGGAAAAAAGACAAGTCGAAGAGTAGTCAAAGATACTGGTATCTATAGATGGGATTACATTGAAAAGAAGAGAGAAAGGAGAGACAGTAAAAAACTTTTCTATGTTTCGTGCGTTTTTTCTCTTCTAGTGTTCGTTTTCGATCTTGAGATAAAGATTTCTTTTTTATGTCATATTTACTTTCATTATTTTGATCAGTAATCACTAAGCATACATTCGAACAATTTTAAATGACAAAGGTTAGTGATTTGAGACGAAGAAATTGTTGCTGAATGTGTCGTTTTCCCAGGTAACAAGTTCTCCAGATGTTCTTGAATTAGAAGAAGTTCGCTCGCGAAAACTTCGCTCACCAATTGAAGATACTCAATCTGCGAAGGTAATTTTAAGAAATTAAACGTAAGATCAACATCAGCTGACACTTCATTTAGCTATCTCAAACCTATGAAAATTCCGGATTTGTGAATGATCGAACAGATACGGGAAGTGGTGTTATCATCACTACAAATTTACCTGAAAGTGATAACAAAAATGACAATGGTCATGCTGATGATGATGATGATGACAATGACGATCAAAAGGATAATGTTGGATTTGAAAAATTAACAGGAGATGGAGATAAAGTTGGTTTAGTGGTATTAAAAGTCCGCGATAGATTAGTTCGTTTGATCGCAAAACGAAAAGTATGAAGAAAAGTTATTTCTCATTTGCATCTTGTCTTTTATCGTTCATTTTAGAAAATTGTTGTTTATGCATTGAAAGTCCTATGCTTAATCGGCTTTATTATCTATTTCGCTTTTGTGAACACGAAAAAATATGGAACTCCTGCTTTTCCGATCGATGGAAACATTTTCTCGGGAAATGCTGGTAGAGTTCATGAAAATCTTCATTGAAATTGATGATTCAAACCAATTCTATCTATTTTCAGGATTTGCATTGTTTATTCTCGTTGTTTTCGCAGTTTTTATTGTCCTATGGGAAAAATTTCTCGGAAATGCAGCGGATCGTGCTCATGATTATCTAATTAAATCAATTCGAAGTACGATCTCAGGGAGAAGATTTATCGAGTTACTCTATCGATTTTCTTGGTAAAGTCAATATTTTGTTACGAACTGCACGAATGTACTTCTTGTTGAACAGGGTTGGGCATATATTAGTCTTCCTTGCGGTTGCACTTTATATTGGATTGACGGTTCGACGAGGGTCGAACTATGTGTCTTTAATTGGTGTATTTACATTGATTATTCTCGGAACACTCGGTATGAGAATATCTTTGTTACATAAAATCTATGGAATGTTGTGTTTTAGGTTCGAAATATCCTCATCGAGTGGGTACGACAGTGATTGTTGATAAAAATGATTGAGGAATATTTGTACAATAGATTCGATGGCAGACGATCTTCTATTCTTTCATAATTCAATTTCTCTTAGCAGCGATTGTCATTCGGCTTGAGGTTGGTTTTCAATTTTTTGATTTTCTCGGCAAAGAAGTCTCAAAATTCATCAGGTAAACTTATTTGAGTTTAGAAGTCATTCTATCTTTATTTATTAGTAATGCGGAGGCAGGAGCAGTGTTTGTCTTTGGCGAAAGTTATGAAGATCATTTCTATGTGTTCAAAGTAGGTGCAATTCAGTTGGAAATCTTTTTATTCATTGGTTTTTCACCTAAGGTCACTTCAATTATCATCTTTCTCGGATCAGTTATCAATATGCTTTATTATTTGGGTGTTATGCAATATGTCATAGGAAAAATTGCTTGGCTAATGCAGAAATGTTTAAATACCACAGCAGCTGAAGTAACTACTCTAACAATTTGAATCTTTTAGTCATAGGGATCATATATTTGTAGTCGATGAATGCCGCAGCGAATATTTTCGTCGGAATGAGTGAGGCACCATTGATGATCATGCCATTGGTACCAACAATGACAACATCAGAGCTTCATGCAGTTCTTGTTGGAGGTTTTGCAACAATGGCTGGTTAGATACCTTAAACTTGCTAGCATTCAATCGATTTTCTATATTCTATAGGATCGGTTCTGGCTACGTTTATCTTTTTCGGAGTTCCTGCCAATCATTTAATTGCTGCTAGTGTAATGGCGGCACCCGGTGCACTTGGATTTGCCAAACTTTTGTTACCGGAAACTCACAAATCAAAGACATCATGGGAAACTGTCAAGAATGTCCCATTGCCGTATGTATTATTCTCAGTGAAATCATTTCGAAGAGAATGTGTGTTTTTTTTTCATATAGAGATCAACATAATGTCATCGATGCATTGATGACTGGTGCTGGAAATGCCTTGAAAATTTGCGGTTATTTAATTGCTAATCTAATTGCTTTCATTAGTGTTCTGCGTTTTCTTGATGTTACAATTGCATGGTTCTTTTCACTTGTTCACTATCCAGAAGTTAATTTTCAGTATATATTGGGTCTACTCTTCTATCCATTTGCTCTAATTATTGGCATACCATTGAAAGATTGCCTGCTAGCTTCGAAATTGATTGGAATCAAAGTCAGTTTAAACGAAGTAAGGATAACTTTCTCTTTATATCTAAAAACCATTTGACGGTTATTCAACAGTTCATTGCTTATCAAGAACTTGGTAAAATTCGTGGTCTTCGTGACCAGTGGATTGCAGATAATACATTCCCATTGTATTTGAATGGAACCATTCCATTACCTCCAAACACTCAAATGTTATGGAATGTAAGTTCGTTTTATGTTCTTCATGCTAGAAATACTCATTTGATCACCATCGCTAATTGATTTTCAGGATAGCTCTGTCGTTATTTTGACTTATGCGCTGTGTGGTAAGTGTTTTCTAGTTCTCCTCGTTGATAACTGATGGAAATCTCACATTAGGATTCGCTAATTTTGGTTCAATGGGTATCGCTTTAGCTACACTAGGTGTGTTCGCACCACAACGTCGACGAGCGCTAATTAAGATTGCACCACGAGCTTTAATCGGTGGCAACATGGTTTCATTGATGACAGCATCTATCGCTGGTATTGAAATCAAAAGAATTCTTCTGTGTTTTTTTTTCAATGCGAACGAATTAATTTCTTTTTAGGACTGCTCTATGAACCTCGTGCGGTAGTCGAATCTGTGGAAAAATTAAATACAACATTATTTTCCTAATTTTTCTTTTTCAAACTGATGATGGTATCTGAAAAACAGATAATGAAATAAACTTTTGTGCCTTAACATGTATGAAAGTACGAACATGCTCGTCTGTCTATCTTCAATTCGAAATGTGTCGATTGATACATGCAGCACGTTCTTAGACGGTGCTAATTGAGTCCACAGCTGGCTTATTTGTATGTGTTTACTGAGATTAGAAAATTGCATCTTGTTAAGATGCTGATAAGTTTGTTCTTTAAGTGCTATTCTTTCAACCATTTATCATCTGTTTTATCTTAACTTGAAATTCTTCATGATGACAACGCAAATATCTGTTTGCTTTTCTGCTGTGTCTCCAATGATTTATGATTAATCTATGTAATCTGGTTACATACTTCGTATTTATCAAAGGTCAAACTATGATTGACAAAATCGATTAAAAATATACGCAAATGTTCTTATTCAAACTGTTTGTTTTCGGATTTCTCCACGACGAATTCGACGTATAGGTCGATCAAAACAAGGCAACCAAAATATAAATTTCAATAGAATTGTAAGCACAGGAAGAGCTACACAAATAAAACCGATTGTCAGTACTATTCTCCAAGATTTCAGTGTAACCCAACGTGGTACTGCCATTGCAAAAACATGTCCAATTGCAAATAATAACGTTAGAGTACCTAGTTTTGATTGTACAAACCGCCATTCTTTCCAATTAAGTAGATTTCCGATCGCTGGTATACTTGCTAATGCTAACAATGACATTGAAAGTATGGTTAAAATTCCCATTAACGATGCCAATTCTCCTTTAGATGTCATAAGGCCGGGTTGAACAATAAATTTGGTTTCGTTTCGTACAGGCGAGACAAGCACAGACGTCGGATGAAACCATGAAGAATAATAAGCCGGTGAAATAAGTACTAAGGTCATCAGTACATGACATAATCCAATAAAATATGTTAATAAGCCGAGTTGCTTTCGACAAAGCAACCATCTGTCTAACCAAATGGGAAATCGTCGGTCTTTCGTTCCATACGCTAGTTGAAATATACAAGCTAAATTCGATGGCATATAAACAAGCGCTAGTAAAGTGATCGCACTTGAACATAAGACTCCATTGATTACATATAAGAATATTTGATTCCATGAAGTTTTCTTCTTAATAAATCTCATATAGATGGTAATACATGACCAGACAAATAGCACACATAATACAATTACGATTGGCAATTTCCATTGAGGAAAGAGCGATCGTGTGTAGGTTTCTAAATGACGAGATGTCCGGAGTGATCCATTATTGAATGATTCAAAGTTCATTTCGCGTGCGAGATTAATCACTTTTTCTCTTGCTAACGAATGATCACTGGCAACGAAAACACAGCGCGATTCACCTGCTGTTGTACTTTCCATAACAAACGAGGAGATCGTATTGAATGCTTTAACTACATATGCCTTTGGAATACCTGCCTGAAGACATTCAGCATTGGATAATTCGTCTTCTTGTAATTGATTATTCAAATGATTAGATACATCGATTAAGATTTTCCCGTCGAATAATGTTGGATTCTGGTCTAGAGGTGATATAAGTGTTGTTGTATAATGTTCAGGATGAATAGCAATGAAGATTATCGAACAACGTTCGATACATTCGATAATTGATGTTATTTCGACATTAATATGTGGTCGAGTCTTGGCATCTCGACTGCCCATTAGCACAGTGAAACCTGAACGAATTAAACGACGAGCTAGAGCAAAGCCCATATTTCCGCAACCAATGATTCCAATACAGCGTTGATCAGCCATCTTCAAAACAAAGTTACAACTGAATTGTGTGTTTTTCTTCTATGTCGACACTGATACTATATGGGTATGTGTCTATATCTATGAAGTTGTCAGCATCTGTTCCAAAGAAGAAAAGAGGAAGGACAAGAAATAAGCAACAAAACTAATAGCTCTATATGGATGTACGAATATAGACAGTAGACGAAAAGAACCAATGAATAATACCAGCACAGAAAGAAAAGACAGAGAGGAGAAAGTTAAAAAGTGTTGGATTAGATATTATTTGATATATAAGTATAAAGAAAATAGAAAACGAAGTCTAGATTTCCTGATTATGTTTACAAGGAATATGTGGATGTCAGACATAAACTTCTCGTCAGAAGTTTGACAGTTCTTTTTCTGAGTTACTCGAAGGATAACTTACACGTTTTTGACAGACAGTTGATTATTATGCTTCAATTAGGATCTGTTTAATGATGTTGCTGTAATGATCCTTTATATAGAAAACGTCGTATTCGTAAAGTTACTACTTGTGAAAGACAACATGGGAGTAAAAAGGTATTCAGTGGGAGAAAATTGTTTACCCCATGCTTATGTTTTATTCTCAATAGATTTTTGTCTATAAATAGCTTTCTCATAGAAATACCAGATGGATATAAGGGAAAATATTTTCTTCTCTTGTATTATAGAGAAATCTTTGAAGAAAGTTTTCGTTATATTTCATGAAATTATTAAATATTATTTAACCAAAATCTTCGATCCTTCTCACGTGTCATACCGAAAGCGCCAACATCGTTCTTGTATTCAAGAATTTCATTTACTTTAATAAATCGTCAGATTGAATGACATTATTTATAACGTATCACTAGTTGATTACATACAAGTTCACATGAAATCACTACCTTCAATACTCTTTCGACGAGTGTAAAGGTCTACAATAACATTTAAATGTGACTGATCGATTACTCATGCTAGTAACAGATGCGATTTGTCTAAGCACATTAGTCAGATACAGCAAATGGTAGACGGTCTTAATTAGGACTTGGGTCAAGGTAAGGAATTCAATTGCCATGATACATCAAGGCACGAGTGGTTATCGATATGTAATGCATATACGCACACACACACACACACACTGATTAGTCAGTGTATAGAAGGATTTAAAAGCGCATAGGTGTGTATATCGTGGATTGACGAAGTGCAAAAACATGAAAAAAATTGAAATTAGAATAAAGTTATGGTTGGAATGTCATGAAGACATCGTGTTTCTTGCCGCAAATCGAAACGAAAAACAAATAAGTTATTTTGATTAAATACGAAGGAATATTAATTAGATATTTGTTTCGCTCTCATTATTATCAATTTCGATACATTGCGTTCATGTATAAAACAGTATTGATAATATAGATGCAATTACTGATGCATATTTCATATATTTTAAGCTTTTTTCCTCTTCATACATTTTCATTTTTCATTGATTTATGAGTTGCATTGTTAACTTTTCGATGCGCATCACTGCACTGCTATATACATGTTGTATCGATGTATCCTACATGGAACCTTGATAAAGTCACAGTACACGTTTGATCGTAGATATAGTTTTATGTCCTTTGATTGTTATCGATAGAATATCTAAGAGTATGCGATTGAAAGACGACTCTTTATATTGTTATAGGTATACCTCTGATTTTAAAGTAAGTGAATAATCATCGAAAACCGCACAGCGATGGCTTTTTTATCTTTCAAGCATGGCTTTTTTTTGTCCGTCAAGGTGATCTATCATATACACGACGATTTATTTCGTATAAGAGAATATATATGCACACAAAAAAAAGTAAAAGAGAAAGCGAAAGATTCAGAAGGCAACTACCATGAAGGTCGAATATTTGCATATGCAAGCGGCGTAAAAACGCGCGATGTTCTCTCTTATTCTGCCCTCGTTTTCTTTTCTTTTCTTTTTTGCTGAGCTGGCTATTTCGCACATTATTTTCATGTACACATGAACAGGTGTACTTCTTGTTACACTACAATATGTTGTGCATTCCTTACAACAAAAGAAATAATAGTAGTGTGTTAGAGTGTGTTACTTCGACAGGAGAGTTAGTAATTGATAAGCTTTTATTTCATATTTTAGATGATTGAGAGAAGTAAATAGTAGTGTAGACGAAATGCCATTGCACGACGTATCAAATGATCAGTCAATGATCAGTTGGCTTCAACAGTCTGGTCATGGACATTTGCTTGGTGATCAACAGGCCAATGCCACTCCCGCAGCTCCTCCGCCTAATAACTCATCAGGATTAGGAACTTCATCAGCAACTTATCCACCACCAACATCTTCACCACCGCTGAATTTCGTCGGCGGTAGTGGCGGTTTCAATCCTACTAGTTCTCCACCGAATGCCCTTCATCGATCAGTATCCTTTCCTCAAGCAGACCATCATTTAACGAATTTGTTGACTGGCGGCCACAACCCAGCGTCGCCGCCAATCATACCTCCAACAGACCACTATAATACTTCACCTTACAACCAACAATCAAGTCCAATAAACTTCTCTTCAACATCTCCTACACATCTAATTTCGCCCAACGTAAATCAACAACAACTTGATACTGATATCGAAGTAAATCATGTTCTACTTGTCAATTCTCAGAAGGCAAAAAAAGGTTCTTCTACATCTTTGTAGAATATGAAACGTGATCCAAATACACGAGTGGTACAGCGTCCACCACAAGAAGATGTCGTCTACAAACAACGTGTATGCAACGATCAATCACGAAATATTTCTCCTATTCGTTATTATAGGTTTTTGTAAGATATTTACAACCACCGACACCGCCCGTTGGTGGAACGATCATTGTTCGAGAAAAACAACCACCACCACCACCACCCGATCCACCAATTGTAAGAAAGAAATTTTTGAATAAACAGCTAGTACATTTACTTTCCATAGGTCATCAAACGCGCGCCGCCCGCACCACCAACTCCACCACCTGTCATCATTCGCGAAGTTCGTTCATAATATTATATTTTCTAACATAATGTATCCAATTGAATTGTTTTAGCGTCCACCACCATTGCCAGCACCTGAAGGTCAATAATCACATACTTTCACACAAATTTACATAATCAGAATTTCATCTATATCCGAATAGGTACCACTGTGATTGATAAAATTGTGCCACCTGGCCCAAAACCACAACGTCAAGTAGTGATTGAACAATATCCACCCCTACCTCCCAAACCCCAAGACGTTATTATCGAACGATGGCTCCCAGTGCCGCCACGACAACGACGTATTCTCTATGAGCGTTTACCACCTACCAGTCAAATACAAACACGGCCTGTTATTGTGCAATATGGCCCACCACAAGTTCGTGTTCAACGTGAACTTATTACAGCACCTGGTGTTCATCTTCCACACCAACAAATAGGCGGTCGTACAGATATCAACCAACTTCTAGGCAATCAACCAATTCAATCTTCAGTAAGGACTTGTGCACTAATTGATCGGAAGATCTATGACTGCCTACACGTTCATTTCTAGTTTCTTCCTTCTTCTCTTGTTTCTTATAATCCACATACAGCGATACAACCAAACTACGGTGGTTTAGGTCAGTCTCAACCAAATGTTGTAATCTTGCAAAATGGACAACCAAACACACTTCCATCATCCATCTATGGAACACCATTAACATGTGTCTGTACACCAAATCAACCTGCGGGTTTAGGAGCCTATGGGTCAAGTGTATCGTCGTTACCACTTGCCGGTCAAGCTTCCGGTCAATCAGTACTTTACAATGTCCCCGGTATGAAACTTATTTTCATACACATACTGAAAAATTATGAAACAATCGCTTGCATACATTTCTGTTGTCATTCTAGATACAGTACCTATCGACAACATTCTTCGTCAACTTGGTATTGATCCAAATACGATACAACGATCTGCCAGTTATCCATCAGCAGGTATTCTTTGGTCTTGTCGCATATATTTAATAGCATTATGACATGTTAGAACAAAACTAACATATGCTGACACGTCTATATTTATATTAGTTTACTAAACGCTACTATCTCACTAATGACGATTGATATGTAGACATGATGTTTACAATCATGTGTCCATCAATAGAAATCACATATTTACTATATAAAAACATATCATAGAGTAGTAAATGTAGTATATTAACAAAATTCATGTCTGAGATTTAATATTTCATCTATTCAGATCCACATACTGCTGTCTCACATGCGTGGGATGCTGCCTCTTATGCGAATCCTTTGCACACGAGTAAATCTTAAAATGTTCTCTGTTGTCTAGAATTGAAACTTTCTTTTCTTGTTTAAAAAAGACCCTGCTTCTGCAGTATCGCATGTATGGAACGCTGCTTCTCACGCAAATCCTTCACATACGAGTAAATCTTAAATTGCTTTCTGTTGTCTAGAATTGAAACTTTCTTTTCTTGTTTAAAAAGATCCTGCTTCTGCAGTATCACATGTGTGGAATGCCGCTTCTCACGCAAATCCTTCACATACGAGTAATCTCGCATTGCCTTTTATATTTTACGATTCAGCGCTTTTGCTTTATTTTTCGTTCGACAAGATCCTGCTTCTGCGGCTTCTAATGTCTGGAATGCTGCTTCTCATGCAAATCCTCCACACACAACAAGTACATTTTCAGTTGTGTTAACTATTTTTATTAAAAGAATCTTTTTTTGTGTAAAGCTCCTGCTTCTGCCGTATCACATGTCTGGAATGCTGCAGCACACGCCAGTGATCAAAATCGCCCACCTTCTCCTGCTATAGGAAATGCTTGGAATCGCATCGAAAACTATCTTCATCCACAATCTACCGGTAATTGACAATTACTCCTTTATAAGCCCTACACTTCTTTCTATTTCACCTTTTTCCACGCTCAGACCCAGTTCGATCTGCTTGGAATCATATTCCACATCCAAGCTCACCTCCACCACCAGCGAATTATCCACCACCAAACTATCCACCACCAAATTATCCTCCGCAAAACTATTCTCCACCACCTCCGTCAAACTATCCTCCGCCAAATTATTCGCCTCCACCTCCATCAAACTACCCCCCATTTCAACAACCACCACCGGCTGGCGGTGCTGGATCTAGTGTATTAGGTCGTCTCTTTGGAGGTGGTGCTCGATAGAAGAAAAGAAAAAAAATCTGTCGTATTTTTTTTCTTATGATATATATTCAAATAATAGACAAAAAACGATCGTAAAATTTTCATTTTGTTTAGCTAATTTTTTTGTTATACACGATGTGTGCGAGCGTTGGCAAAGGTACGTGGCTCAGGTAAAGGCATCGGATGTAGCATAGACATTGAATTTGATATGGATGGTGTCTTTATCGTTTCATAATAAATCGAATCAGTACGTTGTATTGAAGAAAATAGAGGTGGACCAGGATACGGTGGCGGTTCATAACAATCATTTATTGACATCTGATTTCGGTCTGCGTAGTAAGACGGGGGGAGATCATTTATATCGGGTGCTGGAGTATAACGTTGACGAGGAACGTTTGACGATGGAGTTAATTGATGTTGCTGAAGAATAGCCGATTCCAACGCTGACCGATGTGTAGGTTTTCGATTCGAACTCGTAGTGAATAATTTGCCTGTACATAGAAACAACAACTGAGGACGTTTGCGAAGAATATAAATAAGCAAGGAAATAAGTGAAACGAAAAGTAGAATACCGCCGGCGAGTAATGCTAAACAGAGAAAAATACAGTCAAATTTCGGCACAGACATATCTTATGTGCTTTACCCGAATAGCGAAGTGCATCGAAATTGTATGATGATAAGGATGAATCACCGGCGGAATGAATATCAGGATTGAGTGTACTACCTAGATAACAAAAAAAATGTAAACAAATACTTTTCACCAAAAGACTCCTCGACGTGACGAACTTACTACGTTCTCGAAGATACTGTTCGCAAGCAAGTGTGTTTTGATATGTTAAACAAGTGACTCGTCCATAAGTGGGACATGCTATTCGACAACTGACATTATTTCCTTGCAAACAAGCATAAACATCACCTTGACAATAACCTGAAAATAGTATTTATAAATACATTCGTATTCATTCTATTGAAAAGAAGAATCGACTACAAAGAAAATTTAATTTGTCTTCTTTAATAGAAATAGGAAACACGCGGCATGGAAAGAAAACCTTGTCCTAATGCATTGTAATGATATAGACAAACAATGTTTCTATTACATAATCAACTAGTAGAAACTTCTTATAATATGATTTTCTTTTGAATAGATTATTCATCGAGAAGAAAAACTTACAATTACGTTCATCTGAACCATCCAAACATTGACTTCGACCATCACAAACTGCCGTCCAAGACACTTCTTGTCCGTTTCTACATATGAAGTATGCATTCATATTCTCATCAGCAATCGTGCTAAAAATCAAATGAGAGAATGTTAATGAATGTGATCTATCTTATCAGGTTAAAAGAGTGAAGAAAAAACAGAGAACGTACGCAGAAAAGAAAGATGAAAAGACTTGTCAAGCATATTCTATCTTAATAATATGAATATGATCGATAGAAATCAGATTCGAATGTTAAATTAGATTCTTGTCTATGTTCAAGATCAAGTTTATTTGATTGAACTTACCTTCGATTCATCGTATAAACAAAAAAACAACTGTTGACGATAAAACTTGTCTGATTGAAAAATCAATTGGTCGAACAGAAATTAATTGTTTTCATAGCTCTTATTCTTTACGTTTAGGCCTATATCAACGTATTTATATGCACAGACAATGGATTGTGTAGTGGTGCTCGTCTGTNCAGAAGAAGAAAATCTGTTGATTCATCTATCAATTTAACGCGACGACATTCTTATTTTACGCTATTATAATCATCATTTGACGAGCTATTTGTAATTGTAGGAGCTATTCTTTAGGTGAAGTAGAAATGTCATTAGTATTAGTATTATTTTTTTTCTATTAAAATGAGAAAGAAGAAGAAAAAAAGATTCTTCTTCATCTTTTAGTAATCTTGTTTCATCAATCTGACACTTCTTTTATTTATTCGACAAGATAGATATATACGTGAAGTTCATTTCACTTCTAATTAGCAAGTTGACTGATGATTGTATCATGTACACAATTCTCAACAATGTGATAGTCATTTGCAATCTCACAATGTGATAACTTCACTAGTCTTGCTGATGAGCAGATAGACATTGACCTTTTTCTCGGCATAGGCATTCCATACATCAAAAGAAAACAAAATAAAGAGCACGAGATATAAATTCATACAGCATTTTCCAATTTGTTAGCTAGAACATGTAACAATCGCGACGGATTTTGTCAAGAAGCTTGCAGTTTAGCAGTTGCTTATCTGAGAAACACAGCAGGTTTTTCAAGTAACTGTCACACTGTGATCCATTTATGACATGTAGTCGATGAAAAACATGTCCATGTTATTAGAAATACTCTCGAAATAACATGACGAGTTTGTGTAAATATGATCTTGAGTGTATAGCCGAACGATTGTTGTGAACTGTTTTCTAACCGTGATTGGAAGGACATCATGATAAGTTGAAAAAAATGTTCTGTTGGAATTATCTGGTGTATTGCAGATGCAATCTGGCTGAAAGAACGTGAAAGGAAACGTTGAATAATTACTGTATGATGTAACAGATCAAATAATAGATATACTGAGAAGTATTTATTGTACTTGATGAGCTGAGCAAATAGTTGTATGATGTATTTTCAGGGAAGAAAAACGTATCGATTGTTTCTTTGTGGAAGATGATCATTCGAGAGCGACCCCTAGACGAAAAGTACGCTTTTCATTGAGTTATTGGATAAATGAAAAAAAAAACTAACAGAAAGGAAGCCAAGCAAAATTCAATGTACAATCGTGTGAGAAAATGCATGGTTATAGCCGAGAATCGAACGTGATGCTATATAAAAATATTGCGAAACGGAATTTCACCATTGCGTCAGCAAATGTCGAGATGATTGTTTCACTTTAACTGAGTATATATACTAAGTGACCTTAAATCAAGACAAAAAACATGACGAATAATATCGTTTCCATCAATGAAATCGATCTCATCGATCGATGCATAACTATTCTGCAAAATAATGGTGTTATTGCAGTGCCGACTGATACTATTTATGGGTTCGCTGCTTTAGTTAGTAGCGAACAAGCAGTTCGTCGTATATATGAAATCAAAGGTCGATCATTCACTAAACCATTAGCAATAGCTGTTGGTGATATTGATGATGTTTTAACATGGTCAAAACCAACATTAACTAAAGAACAATTATCTACCGGAGATCTACTTCCTGGTCCAGTTACTCTTATGTTTGAACGACAAGCATCATTGCCATCGTATTTCAATCCAAATGTATCTAATGTCGCAATTCGTATACCTGATTGTCAATTTATGATCGATTTAGCTCGACGTTTGAAACAACCGATTGCATTAACTAGTGCTAACTATTCGAATGATCCAAGTTCGATTTCTATCGAAGAATTTCAATCGTTATGGCCTCAATTGGACTTAGTTGTTGATGCTGGTGTGTTAGCATCGAATGATCGACGCGGATCAACGATTGTAGATCTATCACAAAAGAGCTATTTTCACATACAACGACATGGTATCGATTGTGAACGTATTGTTCGATATTTAAAAGATCATTGTCATTTACAAGAACAGCCAGATGTTTTATGAAATGTATTTTTCGTATTCAATAAAATAAAGAACATCTCAATGATTCCAGTGAGACTGTTGAAAACGAATATTGTTTCAGGAAAATATGATCCATGAATTACAATGATAAGACCAATTCTGTTGGCAATTAGCTGAAAAGTTATTAAAATTCATGGCTAGTAGAATGGTTTCTCATGCGAAAAAAGAATTTTCACTAATTACAATTAATATTCATCACTTGTTTTAAAATAACTTGTGTGAACTAGCTCACCTCGAGATAAATAAGTAACTGTATTTATGATAGCAGTAAACAATAATCGGTGCTTGTCCTTGTTCTCTGCACAGAAACAGACGGTAAAGGCTTTGCCAAATGTGCTATCGAAAAAACAAAAAGCTGTCATGCGTAACGAATGTAGATAAAAATATATCATTTCGTTTCAAATGTATACATTATACTAATATTGATCGTTATGGCTGCGCTTAGTGACGAACAGCTACGAATAGAATTCGATAAGTTGGATACAAATAAAGATAATGCAATTACAATTGACGAATTGAGAAAATACTATATACCGATGCAAGAAATGTTGGGAATATCCAAACAATTGGCAGAATCAGAAATCGAAGGTTTAATCAAACGGCTCGACACTGATAACGATAGAAAGATTACTTTTGACGGTAATGGAAACTACTTTCTTTCACATTCCATATTGTAAGTTATATTCTCTTTGTAGAATTCAAAAACTTTATAGTGAAAAAATAAAGTCAAGGCAAATGATAGTTTCATAGTAAAAGCATTTATTTGTCTTTTTAAATGAAAATATATCATACGTATTAAAAAAATCAGATAAAGTTCACTGTCAATTACCAAACTGCCACCCATGGTGTTCTTATTCGATGTCCGCGGTAGCTTGGGTGTTTCGAAAATGCGTCCGGTTCATAATAGTCATCATCAATATCTGTGTGGCTATGATTCTCATAATCCCATGTGCGTGGTGGACGTTTTCTATCTGTGGGTTGTCTGTCCTATAAGTAGAAGAATTATGAAGAAAGATCTTTAAAACGAAGAATGGAATTTTTACGAGAGAATGAGGCACCCATGGCTCGGATAAATGTTTCCGATCAGATCGAGGAGGCGATTCACCATTTTGCGCCCGTGATTTACGTTCAGGGCGTCGAGATTTGACAATAGGTAGTGAAGTTGGATGACATGTTCGTTCATGATATGGCTTGGATGGATAATATGCATAGGGAGAAATGTAATCTGGTAGTTGAAGTGGATCATATTGAGGAATCTGATGTGGCCGGCGATGAAGATTTCCGGGACTTGTTTGCCACGGTACTGCTCGAGGTTGTCTTTGAACTCGTGGACGATCTTGATCGGCGAGTGGAATAAAGATGATTTCTGATCTAGGATTTACTGGCTCTAAAATATACGAAAATTCAAGCTGAACTAAATGTTGAAGTTTGCGTGCGAAACGAAACCTTTTAATCGTCTTTGACGAGGTTTTTTTTGTCGAGGAGGACTATTATCTGCTGGGTCAGCTTCAGGTGCCGATTCTTGTTCGATACTACGACGTCGAGTAGTACCTATTTGTGGTAATGGTATTCTTGATCGCATCAACGGCCTATTCGAGTAGAGAAGAAAATAGATTTTGTCAATATATAACAAGTAAATCGAAGATGATTAGTCTTACTTTTGATGCTTCTCAATAGTTTCACGTGTCGGTGAATGTGGTTTGCCAACTAATGGATAGAATGTTGGTTTGGACGGCGGTGGTGATGGTAGAAGCGGTTGTTGTTGAGGTTTTTGAGGTAGTACCATTGTCTGAGGCTTTTTAGGGTCACCTATGACTGTATAGAGAGTAGAATTATTTACTTGTTTTTTAATTGGCTCCGGTGGTTGAGATTGTTCCGTTAGAATATCAGCTGGAGTATGTTTTTCACCCACGATAGTATACAAAATTGGTGCAGATTCACTTGAACTAGCTTTCACATGTTCTGTTGGTGGAATTAAATTCACTGTTGTTAATTCTTTTGTAAGCGGTACCACGGTTGGACGACCAACAATGGAATAGAGGATCGGTGCAGACTGTCGTGCAAGTGAAGGCACTACTTTTAAAGGCTCAGGAACGTTCGATGGAACGCGCGATTGGCCAACAATTGAGTATAGAATTGGTACTGGCTGTTGTTGAGGTGATGGCACTTCTTTTAGAGGCTGAGGAACACTCGACGGAATGTGTGGCTGACCAACGAGGAGATAAAAACTCGGTACTGTTGAAGATGACAATGACGCAGTCTTTGTGAGTGGTACTGGGACGACGGGCACTGCTTTGCTTGGATCTTCGACGATGATTTTTGATTTGGGATTTGCAGTTATCGAATAAAGAATTGCTGATCTATCTGTGGGCGATGAGGCCATGGGCACAAGATTTTTATCGCCTTGAAGAGTTGGTCGTTGGACTTGACCAGTTATTGTATAGAGTATAGGTAGAGGAATTTCGTTCGGAACTGGAACTGGAGCTGAAACTGGAGTTGGCTGTTCATTGTGGATAGGCGCACGTTTATCTCCAATAATAGAATAAAGAATAGGCTGTGAAATGACTTGTGGTTCAAGAGAAACAGTTGCTAGCGGTTTCTGTTCTTTTTCTCTAGGCATTGGTATGTCACGTTCTAACAACAATTACATTGATTACTTTTTACAATCAGTGAAGTTTAAAAAAACAAAGCATACCTTCTTTTGTCAACGGTGGACTCGGCTCCCGTTGTTCGTTTTCTGAATTGATATAGTACATTCGTGGTCCTGTTGTTTTCGGTAAAACTTTCTCAGGTATTGATCGATATCGACTCTCGAGTGTATACATCGATGTTGGTACAGGTTCACTAGAAACAGTTTTTGGTGCTTGTGATGGCGGTGGTCGGTTTTCCGATGTAGGTGCGTGTTGTGCTAACGGCTTATATCGGTTTGGATCTGCAGCAAGAGCTCGGAGTACTACACTATCTGTTTTTAAATGCAATCCATATGAGTGAGATTCAAGAGGAGTTTTGACTTACCTTTATTCATTTCTTGGCCTTCCTTGGAAATTTGATACATTTGCACTTGATTTGATTCCATGGTGTGTTTGTTTGTTTGGTTTTTATTTAAATCTGTAGAGATAATTAAAAGAAACAGTGATCTCTTTATGTAATCTAATTATCTAGAGATTAACACACACGCATAAGAACATGGAAGATTTTAAACAGTATCATCGTAGTCGAAAACGATGGTTAAAAGAACAACAAATTATTCGCAAGAACTATCAGCTATCTTCCAACACTCCATATCTATATACATTTACTTTCCATAGACCAATACCTAATCACGAAAAGATCGTTGTCACCAATGAAAATCGTCAGTCAAAGCACGATCCACCAATGTTTTGTTCAAGCTGCTATTTACATCTCACTCAGTGCGTGTGCAACGACGGCCTAGGTCAGTGGTGGGCAAACTCAAAAGAACAAACACAGTCAGCAAGTAGTTCCACAGAGATTCTTCTTCAAATAATAATTAAAATATTCTCCATTTCAAGATAAACTATCGAAACAATCTTCCAATCTTTCCATGGGTGAACGTCATGTTAATTTCGACTCGAGTGCTATTGATTTTACATCAATTGATCACAAACATACTTCCCAAACCAACCGTACTGAAGAGTATTATGTTCTACTAAATTGGAATAACTACTCATCGCTCATCAACTTTTTCCGAACAACTAAAATTACAAAATCGTTTTCATCTATGACTCTCGAACAACTGCAGCAATTAGTCGCGAACAATGAACATATCCATGTTTTCAATTCTATTAATACCTTACTATTATCCTTAAATGAACGACAGTCTCAACCGAAAATGACCTATTTGATATACATCGACCCAACTTATTACTCAGCGCTCCAAGGAAGCTCTCCATGGTCTCAATCTCGATTGATTGCTGATAATATCGACCTTACCCGTAGTCTGAGTAGCATTCAGTATGTAGTTCGATCACTCGGAGTAACAATCGATGAATTTTTGCCGAAAGATATCTCTCCAAAACAACGGAAATCTATTTTGAATCAACAAACATCACTCATTGCCTCAAAGCTTCCATATAGTACACGACATGCGCCGTCGTCTTCTATTTGAACAGTTCTGTTTATTTCTTATGTAAACTTGTCCTTGCTAAAATGTCACAGTCGACGGAGGAATACATTTCCTTTTTCTTGAATCAATCGTTCCACAAAGCAAAAGAAATATCTTCTCAAAAATTCTTTTCATTCTCGGTTAAAACAACATCAGGTGAGCTGATGGTTCATCTAAACTCTCCTCGTCTTAAAAAACATCCAAACTTCTAAGTAAAAATCGTCGATTCATGCAAAAGAAATATTTTTACTCTTACTTGTAACTAATAGACTAAGTATCTTAGCTTTTAGTTATTATTAAAAAATTCGTCAACGAAGGACCCTAAAGAATGTTTTTTAATTCTGATATGAATTTTTCTTTTCCAACCACCCAGCATTATCTCTCGTTCACGGAAAGAAAAAACGAGAAGAAAAAAAAAGTAATTTCTTCGTCCTTCACTTGATATACGTTCATATGCAACAATTTTGAACGACGGCATTAAGCGACTTCTTTTTTTTCTCTCTCTCTCGTCTTTTGACAACAACAACAACAACAAGCTCGTAACGTCGCTGAGCAACAATAGAGATAGCGCTCTTTATTCCTGTCGCAAGTTACTTACTGATATTGATGTTTCTATATACTTTTTTTTGTTGTTGGTAACGGAACATCTCGAGATTTGAATCGGAAATATTAAAAATAACACAGACAAAGACAAAAATGAACGGTTCGTTTCTTATTAAAGAAAATCTCCGCCTACTCTTTTGTATAATAAATAAAGAGAAGAAAATTGGTAATCAAAGGAGAACTTATCGCATAACAAAGGCTTTGATTTTTCTCTGTCTCAATATTTGAATTTAATTTCCAAACAACGATTTCGAGAGGAACATGTAAATTGATATATGAAAGAGAAGAAACGCGAACGAATGTTGACTTTTGTCTTTTACAATTCGATTTCATTTCGATCATCATCCCAACAATTAATTTGACAAAGAATTTCTTTTGGTAAAACATCAACTGGAATATTGCCAGGCAATAGTTCGTCATCAGCGATCAGTCGAGTTTTCATCCCAGTGAATTTCACACTAAAATATATCCGAATAAATCAATGGGCTGACAAGGAAAACAATGTGATTTACATTGCTTCAGCATATTCAAGTAAGATATCATGAAAGGATTGATTACACCAATGGACAGATTCATAGATAATTGCTAAGTTTTCCGTACGCTTACGACGTTGTTGATATGCTTGATAGAAATGTTCAATGGAATCAAATAGTCGATTGTCAAAACTCGATAGAATCTGACCATTCTTATCCAATTGTGCATAGATTTCTCTTTTCTTTAGAAAACAGAAAAAACTACTCATTGATCTGACACTCCTAATGACTTACGTTGTTGGTTGTCATCCGAATTGATTTCTCCTTATAAATTTTTAATACACCTCGTTTGATAAGAACAGCTAAATGTGGCACTGAACGACTCTTATACCATTGTGTGACACAATCCATGGCTTTGTCCGTATAGATTTGTGTTAAAGTTATTAGTGATTGATTATGAACAATGATTTTTTCTGAAGAATTCAACGATGGCAAGAGAGAAAATAGCTGATTTGTATCATTGGATACATCGTCATCGATCATACTGTACGCTGAATGGGACACGACGATGGGTTTCTGTGGAATTGGTTCGATTGCTAAAGTTTTTTTTTCAATGAGAAGAATCCATGAGAAAGTAGTAATGAAACAAACCTTGACGCCACCAATCTTCGGTTGTTGTTAAGTTTTTCTTCTCGGACTCAATATCAATTGATAAATCCTCATCAGCGATAGATGAAACAGAGGAGGACGACTAAACATATTTAGTTCTACTCGATTGAAATAGATTGTTCTACATACTGATGGTACAGGAGATGAAGATTGTTTTCTTGAGATAGTTTCCGTGTTAGTCAACGTTCGAGACGTTGTCCGTCGTGATGATGGTAGATCATACATAAGTAAACCAAAAGGAAATAAGGATGGTGTGGCATTTGAATAAGCATCTGCTTTATTTTCACTAGAACGACTCATTATTATATATCTCTATAGTAATAATCAATGAACTTGCGTTCTCGGCTAGAAATTAGAGATTAACGGTTAAACGGTAATGATGTTCAAGAGAGAGGTTCAACTATTCGGTAGAGGTCAGTGAAAATCGTATTTTAATTAAATCATTCGATTTGGACTTGCTACAGCTCCTCCTTGTATCATTCGGAGCCATCCATATGCTGATGTAATTTGGCCATGCAGTACTTCAACATGGACATCTTGAGGGTGAAGGTGAGAAATGATCATATTCATGCACACCCTCATTTATTAGTTTTAACCAATTTTCCAAATTTTACTCGATTTGAATCACGATAAACAGAAAAACGTGCTTTTCCTCAAACCTTGAAGTATCACCCGAACTTCTCGATTTCGTACCGAATCCCTCTACCGAAAAATAGTCAGTCAACAGCAGAGATGTCCATAACATTCGTCACATATTAGTGGCTACGATGCACTTCAATGCCTAACGGATGGAGCAAACATACTAATGTCTCAGGTTAAAATCGTTTTCTTGACACAAATCGACTGAAATCAGATGGAAATTGTGCGATTTAAATCAACCCGTTTGTCTTTCTTTTCATATGAGTTAACTGAGTATGCGCCCAAAGCGTCCTACCAGCCTATGCGACAATATAAGACAGAAAAATCAATATACAGTTCATATTCGCAGTCAAAGCGGTTCAACAATTCCAAAACGAATGATATAATTATCTTGACTTTATTTGTAAATACTGAAAAAAAAACAATTTCGAAAGATAAACGGTGGATAATACACAAGACATACTGCTTAAAAAATATTCAAAATCTAAGTGAAAATTCTTCTCAGCTCAACATACATAAAACGACGAAACGCAGTGGTATCTGTACGTGAGTATTGCTAAATTAAAGTGACGAAAAACGAAAACAGGGGAATGTGTCTCGGTTGGAAATTAGGAATCACTGTGATGCTTCGATTTCTTGCAATAATCGCGTATGTGTCCATACGCTTGTTGGAGCGAAATAGAATCGTAATTTGACGTTACTTTTACTCAATGCTAACATACGAAGTGCGTTGATTTCTGATTGTGTGCAACCGCCGATGAAAACGATCAGAATAGATTGTTGATTATCATGGAATTGAGAACGTGTTGATACACCCGATGAACGCTGGACGAAGAGATCTTCAGCACCTGGATAACCACGTTGAATAAGCTCATGTTGAAACATTGCTAGTTTACCGTCGTTGATTAAAGCTTCTTCGATCAATCGACATGATAATGGAACATAAATCGAATCAAAAACATCAGCCTAATAAAAAGAAGAAAGATAAGAATTGTTCGATTTTAATTGGCCTTTTATTTACCATATCGGGACCGGGTACTGTTTTAGTTTGCTGGTTTAAATCCGGTGTTAAATTCAATCTTTTTCGCATAAATTGAAAGAAAGTTTTCTGTGTTTGTGCTTTATCGGTTAGATTCTGCGCTGCTTGTATTCCTCTTTTGAAAAATGCTTCACCGCGTGAACCAGCTGTCGTCGCGGAATTCGTGGGCACTGGTATATCACATTGTCGTTTCACATAGAAGAATCTCAATTGTTCCAGTTTATAAAGTAATGGAATATTCTCATAACCATACGCTTGAAGGTACGATCGACAAAGTAATTCATAAAGCTCACGTCCTAGTCCATTATTTGCTGTGCATAATAAACAGAGTAATTGTAATGGACGATATTTATTTGGTTCGCAACGGCAAATCATTGTATGAATATACGAAACGATTTCATCGAAATTCTCCGAGTGTAAGATATTCGCTTCCATTTCAAGTTGAATTTTGAAATCAGCCGCCTTTTTCTTCTCGTAAATATCCGCACACAGATCTAAATGACGTGTTAATTGTTTTTTCACGTTGATATGTCCTTTAACATCATTATTGACAAGATGTTTCAGATCGCTAATAGATGCATCTTTCACTTTATCACGAAAATCATTTTGTAGAACATTTTCGCGTGCCAATCGAGCTAAAACAAAGTTGGATTGCAAATGAAAATCAATGAAATGTGTTCTGATTTTACCTTTGATTTCTTGTGCAACTTTAGAGAAATGCATGGCACGGATACCTTCGATGATCGTATCATCTCTCGTAGATAATTGAACTAGTTCATGTTGTGGTCCAGCATTCTCTGCATTACCAGATTTGGGAATTTTCATTCGACCAGCTTCAATATTGAAATATTCATCAAGTAAACCTTCATAACACATCTGTGAGCAAAATGGTGTTACTAGATCAACACTGCGATCGAATAAAATAACTGTCTGGATGCTCTTTCCACCGCCGAAATCTTGATTGCTAATTGCACTAAACTCGAAACATAAAAATTGAATGTTAAACAGTGATTCTCACCCCTCTCCTCTTTCCAATTGTCGCAGAACTTGTCCGGCCAGTTTTCCGAATGCGAGTGTTTTCGAAAATTTTCCGAATAGCTTCTGAAAATCGATTAACGAAGCTGCTAATGTCGATAACCAATCAGTGGAATGATCCAAGTAGATATTCAAGTACAAATGCGAATTAACCATAGAGAATAGGTCATAATCGACTGCAACCATATCAAATGCTGTTAATTCATGAAGTGCACATCGACCCCAAAGACCTTCTTGTTCTAATAAATGTTCGAATGCGTAGAATTTTCTCGGAACACAGATCACGTGTGCATTGCGAATATCCAACTGCCGTAATTGCTTGGCCAATGTTAGAAATCGCACTATATTCGGCCGTAATAAGAATAATCGTTTGTTTTTCGTCTTAGCATTGACTGCCGAATCCAATTTATGTAGATTTTCGACACCGTGCTGTCGAATTTCGCTTGCGGTTGATGTTAAGTCAATCAATGGAAATAGATCAGCATCGATAAAAAGATCTTTGGTTCCACCGATACTTTTTAATAGACCAAATAAATCGTCGCGTGCACGTTGACGAAGACTATCGGCTATTTCCCATTTACTTGTGTCCGACATGACAATCAATTTTTTTCTAGAAGAAGAAAAATATTGTGAAACTATTTTTCACATGAATCAGTGTTTATTCTTATAGTTGTTCCATCAATATAAAAGAAAATAAATGTACGCAAATAGGCGACTAATCAGAAGAAAAGAAAATTATTTTTTAGAAAAAAGAAAATAACAAAAAAATATACACAAGACATTTGCTTTTTTATATATAATCACAGACTTGTCTTTGTCAAAAATTGATCCAAATGTGGGCCATTACGACCGAGTGGATCAGTAGCAGGCATGAATGTATCATTGATGGTTGCAAATGGTAGAATTCTGTAGAAGGAAAAAGGTTAGGAAGAAAATTGACATGCAAATTATTTGTTACCGATTATTTATCACAAATTGAAAAGCTTTTTCACGTTGAAGATCACGGAAATTATCATTACTAACAACAATACCGTCGTTATCAGCAGCATATTGTAGAATAAATCTTTTCAAAGACATAATTAGTTTTCAGATAAACCATTTAATGCTTACCGATCATCATAGTTTGTTAGGCGTTGTCCATTGTTATATCGTGAAGGTGTGAAGGCAATATATCGTGAATTGATCAGCGTATCACGATATTGTCGTTCACGATTAGCATCATTTGGAGAAAGATTCTTATTAGAATGGTCTCGGTAGTCTATTCGAAAGACAATGAATGGCATTGAAGATGAAAAACAGAATCAGATACATACACATAGGGAGAAAAGCAATTATATTTTCATGACCACGGTTTTTAAAATAATTGATCGCATTCCATAAACGAGACCAGGAAAAGACACCATAATAATCATTTGAACTAGCGAAAAACAGAACTATATGATCTGATCGAAAGCCAATCCAACTTACTTTCGGCCGACATTTTGTCCATCTAAAACCACATGGCGAAGAGTTGGTGTTAAAATTGATGACATTAATGGTGGTGGCGGTGGTGGTAACTGAGGTATCTGAGATCTAGGAGACTTTCTATATGACAAGTGAATAGGTTTAAATACAAGAACATACTCAGAATTTGATCGAAATGTAGTTTCGGGTCTAAAAGAAAAGAGTATGAAAAGCGAACGCAAAGATATGTGGATATAATATACAGGGTAAGTAATAGTTTTGGATCTGGTTTTTTCGTAACAGGAGGTTTGATACTTTGAAGAACTTGCAAATCGGTACTTTCCGATGAATCGTCTGAAACTTCGATGACGATGGGTGAATCTTTCGCTGGCATTGATGATGTGTTTTTTGTTGTCTAAGTAGCCTCATTTTAGTCGTAAAAAGATTTACAAAATTCTAATTACAGCATCATTTGTTGTTTGTTCATCGGTGTTTTCCTCCTGTCTCAACACCTTCAACATCGATGTATTTACATCATCATTATACGTCGAATAATCCGGAACTTGATCGTCGTCCTTTTCCTCAGTATCCGACGCTTTTTCATTATTATCGATATGTGTTGATTGTAATTGTGCAGTCGCAGTTGTTATTCCAGATGGTTTTCCACCTACATTTGTGTTCGGACCTGAAACTTTTCGCCGACGATGATATTCGTTTTCAAATTCACGCCGTAGCGTAACAAATTCATTGTAGCACAATTGAACATTCACAGAACTACAAATCGGTTATGATCACGAGAAGTTTTCCTTGGAAATTTACCTTCCACGAATAAATAGTTTACATTCTTCAAGATGATTATTACATAGTACTTTCAAACGTTGACAAACGCTATCAATAAATTTGTCATCACTAAATACATCGAATAATTTTTCACCATAATTAAACATTTGATCATTATCAGGTTGAAATAATGCTTTGGTATAGGGCTGAAAACAGAATTTTAGACAGCGTTTCAATCATTTTCGTGCATTTTACTTGAATTAATTGCTCTTTAGATTTAGGTCCGATGAAATAAACAATTGTCATAGTCGATGACTGGTTTACTGGAAATATTTGACGTTTTTACGAGCAAAAATTTGTTGATGTATCACACTTACATGTCACAGTACGAATGCCACAGATTCGTTGAATAATGTAAATAAGTTTTTCGTCTTTTTTAACTTGTCGTGTTGATACAATTCGATCAGCTAACAGATATTCATTGACATTCACATTTAAATCTGAACAGAATATCATAATGATGTTTTTCTTACTGAAAAGAAAACTCAACCTGGTGTCGATGAAGTTGCTCGACGTAATTCAGCTTGGATATTTCGATATAAAATTGGATTCTAAATATGAGTCAGGTGCATGATATCGAAGTGAAAAATATTCGTCTGTACCACAAATGGCACGAACAATCCAACTTGTTTTCGTTTTTCCAAATGAGCGAGAAATGCGATTATCGCATTGGCTTTTGCCTCAGTTTTTGTTGTTCCACCTGTACCAACCGATTGCAGATTAGGAAATACTGACAATGTCATCTACACGAAGGAAAACATCTAGTTTTTGACCTGCTGATTTATCGTCTACCTTGCAACGATGATTTTTGTCTTCATACATGTCGAAGTCATAGATGGGTGTGCTATGTAGACTAGCACAATATATATTAAATTGATGAACAAGTTGGGAGTTAGTCTGAACAAAAAGTTATCTTTGGAAAAGGTCAAAATATATCGATCAGCAGGTACTTGCTGATGTCTTTGCTTAACATTTTGTTTCTCAGGACGGCGTGAATTTGGCTGAACATTCGGATTTGTTCGGTATCGCCGTTGAACATATTGATTTTGAAGTTGTTTTGTATTCATCGTTTTATTTGGGAAGAAAAATCAAACCTGTAGATAAAACAACGGCTTTTTTACTTTTGATTTTTTTCTCCTAGCTAATCGTTGTCTAGTATTCTAACAGCGCTAGTGTACATCGACACGCACCAAGTTGATTGTGTCGCTCAAAACGATATGAGGAACAAAGATATTTATTTTATTTGCCTCTATTCGTCAAAAGCAGGGAACGCGAGTTATTACTTAATTTTACTTTCAGATTTGATTTTATCCCGCAAAAATGGCATCGAACAGCGCACAAATGAATTATTCTTCGAAAGTTGGTTCTTCTTCAGCGACATCAACATCAAATCCGGTGAAAGAAGTCTTCGTTGATGCAATGGTAAAACAAAATTCATCGAGTGTAGTCTTGCTGAATTTTGAAATTCTCATTGATTAGGTCGTCTTGAAAATCATCAAACATGCACATGAAGAAACAACAGACAATGCACAAGGTGTCCTTCTTGGTTTGGTCAAAGATGCTACACTTGAAGTGACAAATTGCTTTGCGTTTCCAAATCAAAATAAACCTGAGAACATCGATCTTGGTATGAAAATCCAATGATTTTTCTGAAAGAAATCCAAATCGTCTCTTTAGACTTAGACCAGTACCAAAAGGATATCATCCGAAATCTACGTCGAGTCAATTCCGATTACTTACTCGTGGGATTTTATGATAGTAGTTTCAATCCATCAATCGCACAAGCAATGGTAGAATATCAATTGTCTTCTGTTGAAGAATCGATTGCACTTGTTTACGGTGATTTCAAAGTCATCTTCTCGAAAAGCTCGTGCTCATGAGTTCGTTTTCTCTTGCAGATCAAGCATTGGCCATGCAAGGTTATATCAGTTTGAAAGCCTACCGTTTAACACCTGCTGCGCTTGAAAATCTAAAGAATGAAGATTATTTTTCACCCGATAAGTAAGTTTTGAAAATAGTTGAGCAGATTTTCATGTTAAACATGGACGTTTTCTTTCAGTGCACGACAAGCCAATCTGAATTTTGAAACTTTATTCGAAGAATTACCAGTCATCTTTAGAAACTCTCATTTAGTGAATTCACTTCTCTGTGAAATTGAGGAACAAACAAGACTCAGTTCCAAATCAAATAATTTTCTTGATTTAGGCACCAGGTAAATACGATAGATGCTCTCTTATAAAAATCACACATTGATCGTATTTGTCTCCTAGCGGAAATCTCGAACGTCAACTCCGATCATTAATCGACTGTGTGGATGTGTTCGCCAATCATGCAGCACGATATACCACCTATCAAAAACAACTTCAACGTCAACAAAGTCGCCGCAATCAACGTGACTCCAACCGTCGCAATGATGGCAACGACGAAGATTTCGATAATACCACCAAGTTCTATGTCAAATCAAGACGGGAAGCTTTACTCAATGGTTCGCAAATCAATAACCAATGTGATAATATCACTCAATTTGCAGCACAAGGTCTAGCTAAATTATTTATGGCACAAGCTGTTCATGAAAAACAATAAATACAAACAAACAGACATATACACCTAACAACGGACAAACACATTGATCAGTTATCTTCATCTTTTCTTGTTGTTGTGTTTGTCCGGATAGAAAAACGAAAAATAAAATGATTATATATACATATATTGGTTTTAATTGAAATGCGAAAGCCACAAAACAGTTTTCGGTTCTCCTTAGGTGAATTCTAATGAAAAAAATATTTTCTCTTTTCGCAAAAAAAACGCACAAGAAACCCTGAAGTTCAAGAGAAAAAGAACAACATCGAAATGAAATCATTCAGGCCGAAATGCCAACACCTTTCCAATTATTATTTTCTTTTAATCTATTACTTAAATTTTTCACGGAACGAGTTTGCGGAGGAAGAGGCCAATATTGATCAGGGGAGCGAAGTGTTTTGACTTTGGTCAAACGATTTATCTAAAGAAAAATGAAGGGAAGATTATAAGACAATTAAATAAGAATTGTTCTTACTAATGCTTCTGTTTCTTCAACAGATAAATATCGTTTAGATGGTGTTGGAGCAGGTTGGTGTCGATCACGGCAACGCACAGGACTTGTTAGACGTTCAACAACTTGTGAGACTTGTTCAGGTGTGCTGTGTTGATAGCCTAATGGAAATGGGGGATGAACAATAGTACCCCATTTTTGTCGACTACGCCCAGGAACATTTTTAATCGCTGTAACATCACTTAAGCGACCGTAATCAGAATCATCAACGTAGAGTTTTTTCACCTCGTAAATGCGTGAAATAACATTATTGTTTGTCGATGAATGACTGAAATTAGGTGACGCTGCGACTGGTCGCTGCTGCGAACTAGTAGTAGAAGCAGTCGGCGGAGGACGTTCGTCGTTACCACTTTGAATAGAACTATGCGTTGATGAATTGGATTCTTTCGTTGAATGAGTATTTGCACTCGTGCTAGTTGACGTTGTTCCACGACGTAAATACAAACGCGATGGACTCGGTGATATCGTTTTACGATTATATGACGCGTTCGTGACTTGGGATAGAATATGAGAATTCGGCGTTAAATGACGCGAAGATACTTGCTTCGTTTGCATTCGTCGAGCAGGTAGCAATGGTGTTTGCAACGCTTTTCGAAATTGTACTGGAGGTTTGCTATCGGCTATGCTCAATGATTGCTCGGGTTGTTTAACTTTGTCCGTATCACTTGAAAATGACATATGTGTACTTGTCGTACTATCATTAATAATTGGTAGAGGTGTATCATTTGATCGTATTCCATTAACGGGTATTTTCGGTTCGGCTGTAGGTAACTTTTCATCGAAAGAATCGTCAACATCATCGAACGGCACTCGATAAGAGTCACAATCAATCGGCTCATTAAGATTTGATGCCGATTCGATGTCGCTCAACGGACTACATTCGAGATCAGATTGTGACCAGTCTGATATGGAATCATTTTCATCGTCGGATATAGATTGTTGACGACTTGTGCGAGACTTAAGATGCTGAGCACGACTCAGGGCCAGTCGATCAACCACAATCGGTTCATTACGACTTATATTAGTTGCCATAATACTGAAAAATGTTTGATTTCAATCAGAATTATTCTATTCACAGGAACATATTTGCAGCTTACCTTTTGAACTATTAATGATGACGAACGACAGGGAATATGCTATCTTAAGAAAATAAAAAAGATCTCGTCAGACGTTATTTTTGTCAAAAAATTAACACTTTGATCATGATAAGAGTCGACTGGTTTTCCATCCAATGTTAAAAGTTGTTTTTTCTTTTTGAAAGTTTATTAAATGAGCTGTGCTAGGAAAAAGAGAGAGAAATACGTCGATTTTCCACTTTTCCTGACATAAGATGTATATCGAAAAGAGTATTGACAATTGACGCTAATGGAGAAGAATTCTCGTTTGCTCCTTCCGCTTCCAAGAGTAACCTTATCGTAACGAAACAAAGGAGAGAATGAAGAACGCTGGCAACAGTGACGATCGTAGTCTTTCTCAAACTTTTTTTTCTGTTTATTCTTCTTCGATTCTCAACTTGACTGATTAAAGTAGAAGAAAAAAACGACAGTGAAGATGAAATAATAATAATAATAATAATGGTAATATGACGATGACGACGACGGCGAAGGAGAAGGAGAATGAAACTGACTTCTATAAGAATTCTTTCTAGCTAATCATTAATTGCATACGTCTATATATGCTTAACAATTCTACAGATTCTTTCTTGCACGTTGAGAGAAGGAGTCGAGAGCAAAAAACAGATGAATTTCGTGTCTGTTTATTCGAAACACATCGACGAAGAATTTCATTTTTCTGGGTTACGAATCGATTAATTATCCTTTATGTATCCTTCCTTTCTGCACTGTATGAAAAGAATCATTCGAAAATCAAACCTTGTTGTCTTTGATACCTTGTACAAGTAGACGAAAAAATAGGTAAAATCGCATTAGCCAGGGCGTAAAATAGTTTAATGTCAAGATGATTGACAAAAGCACTTGATTTAACGTTATTAAAAACGAGCATACGCCTCGCAACTATTCTCTTATCAGAACGGATGAAAATGTTTATTCAACAAAGAAACATCATGTCACATAAACTGCCTCAAAAATTCTCGGTACGACAAATCCAAATCTGTTGTTTTGATTAATGATTGCAATGCATCTTGAACATAGTTATCTGTTGTAGATGATTGTAGTCCGCCTAGACATGTTTTCACTAGCATAATCTGAGAATGGTTGTTTTGTTCATCATGGAAGATTCGAAATAAACAACGAACAATAATTTTCATAATATCTAATCGATGAACATTGATTCTGGGTTCTAATGTTTCAAGAATTGTCACGAGGTTCTCCAAAGATTGATTTCGTAATGATCGATTATCAATCGAATCATCAAGAAGTTCGAGAAAGTGATTTAAATGCCGTATAGCAAACAGTTGAAGGCGAATGATGTAGAATTTGAGAATTCTCAACAAACACCGACGATATTCAATATTGGTTTCCAAAATGGCATCGCGGATCAGCTTTTCAATCAATTGACTCGTACGAATGAACAAATGTTTACCGGAATATGTTTTATTTTCGAGAATTATTATCCAGCGGTACGTTGTTGCTAGTAAACATTCAAAAAATGGCATTGGATCATTGCGGCGATGTAGATTTTGTTCAAGACCATACCTAAAAGAGAAGATCAATTTTTAGAATCAGATACACTTTCCTACACGAGTGCATTTGAAAAGCAATGCATTTCACTCGACAACAAGAAGCACGCGTGTGAAAAACGATAGTATTAAACTGATACTTACTGTCGTTCTGTAGACAAAAAACAAACATCGATTTGCTCAAAAAAAAACGAACGGTTTCGAAAATGCTCTAACACTCTACGATCCATACAAATTCGTATTTATATATGTCACTCGTTATGTAATTACATGATCACGTTGGCCCGATTGAATAATAACAATTCCGTAGATGTGCAATGTTTCTGTAGATGATCTAGTAGGTAAAGGCTAACAAGTTTCATGTCTACTGATGGATCGTCTAACGTTATTAGACAAACAGAGAAGATCAAATCGAACGACTCGGTTAAAGTTGGTTGATCTAAACACTTGACTATTTGCATAAATAGTTCGATTGCCACCGGATATTGAGTATAGGTTGTTTTCAATAGGAAAGGTGTTAACCGATTGAAGATTTGTTGAATATTTTGTTTAGTTCGAAGTAATTCTTCGAGAGTTTTGACTTGTGCATTTTGAAAGATATGCTGTAGAACGGTCTGTGATTGAGAGCAATGATCATATCGATTTTGTAGTTTAGAATTTAGATTTAGTTTATACATTTTTCTTGTATAGAACCATAACGAATGAAAATTCGTTTCTGTTGATGTTAATACATTGAAATCAATTTCCAATGGAATGTGTTCGAGAAGAAAAAATAATAAAGAAATAAAATCATCATCGTTTGCGATTAATATCGGTAGTTGGTTCTCTAATTCACGAAAAATAGTTGGATCAATCGAAGGATTTGAATCTTGAGTTTCAATCGGTTTGTTATAGATAGTAAAAGAGGCTAACTTTTCAAGTGTTGAATCCATGGTTAATCTACAACTCGAGCAAGGAGAATATTCATTACATCGATTCGCGCGAAGCTTTCTTAAATAACACATGATGTTCCATAAGAATTCATTTGATATTGATATATATTTTTTAATTTGGAGAAAAATAAGTTCAATACATGAAAAGATAATTTTGACTTGTGAGACAAGAAAATCACGCTGTAAAAATACAGTATTACTGTAGAATAAAATAAGGTTCGATCTAGTTCTTAGAGAATGAGAATAATAAAAAGATAAGGTAAGAATGTGCTCCTGTTTGTGGAAGATTATCTGACTAGAAGGAAATCATTAGATGTTCAACGTAGAAATTTGGGCGGTTTAGGTGGTGGACGTGGTGGATTATCGTTGAGTAATTGCTAGACAAAAACAAAAGAGATTGAAATGGACAAAGAAATCAGTTTACTTCAGAAGATTTTGTCAGTGCGCGAAGTTTATTGGCTAATTGATGAGTAGGTGAAAATGAAGTTTTGTTACTGTTCACCTTCGAGGGTGGAGTTTCTTCAGTTGATTCGCCATTCAAACTTTCAGATGATAATAAAGTTTGGCTAGCAGATGCTAAATATTGGAAAAAGACAATCGTATGAAAATTGTCTTGTTGGAAAGTTTTTCTCTTTACCAATGATGAATTGTCCACTAATGTTCATATCGGCAGTCGACGAACGTGGAGAATCATTCGATGCTCCTGCTAATGAACTAACTGATGAACTTAATGATGGCGCTGTACGTGGTGGACGACGTGGTCGTACACTTGTTAACTAAATTCAACGTAGGAGAATAGTCATCGATGAATCACATCTGAATTTCATCTTTACTTCTTCACGTAATTCGATAGGTGTCTTTTGTGGTGAAGAAGTTGTAGTGGGTTTAAAGACAGTACTGGTTGAGTTGGTTGATGATGTTCGACTTCCTATTAGCAGAAAAATAGGCACTTGAGTTTGATGAATAATTTACTTACTAGATATATCCGATTGACGTAACTGAGGATCATTATTTGAACGTTGACTATGAAGAGATATGTTTGAAGATAAATCACTGGATGGTCTAAATAAGTTTTAAAAAAACGTTTTCTGCGATCAAAGAATGTCATTCCCAATGACTTACATGAATAAACTTAATCGTAAACCATTTGTCTATCGATTTAAATAGAATTTATACCGAATAGTGTCAGGTCGAAAGAAAACTTACTTGTTTACCACAATATTGTTCAACAGAACGTTGTCGATAAATCAAAAGACTACTTAAATGATCAACATGTGGAATAATCTCTGGTTTCGATTTTTGTCGCATGATAATCAACGCTCGTTCGAGTAAAGGAATCTATATTTAATTACAAATAAAATCCGAAGGACGATATCACAAAAACTTTACTTGATCAGCCAATAATTGTTTTACTTTCTCGATCAATATACGTGTGTAATCATCAGGATGTTTCGATTGATATTCACTGGATAGAAAGGCCTAGGATATACACATTGTATCGCTTTAAATTAATAACAGAAGTTTAAATTTACTTGTTCAATCACACTAGCACCTCCCATAACTGCTGCATCGAGAATGCCTGCTGTCTGAAAGAGATTTTGTAGTTTATTTTCGAAGACTTCAATTTATTGTCTACAAACTTTGCCTGATAATGGTGTCACATTAAGTTCACGATCGACTTCATTTGCTTCAACAAGCACTTTCAATTCTCGGTTAGTTTTTTCCAATAAATGAATGGCATTTTCCAATGGCGTTAGTATTGTCTAAACAGAACTTCATTTCCAATCAGTTCTTTATGCATTAATATACACTTTACTTTCGTTGATGGACCAGCTGGCATCCAGCGAGTTGTATTTGGCAGAGAAAGTGCTGTCGAAAATTCGTATCTTTCCGCAGAGAATTTCTAGAAATAAGCAGTAAGAAATGTTGCTTAACCGAATTGAATCTTACGGCAATATCTGATGTCGCATCACGATCATCATCATGGACAAATAAGCGTGTATAAGTGAATCGACGTACTTCATTGGAACGGTAATATCTAAATGCAAAGAATAAATTGATCTTATGTCCTGTTTTGTGATTTACCGCAAGATTGCTTCTGGAATATTTCGATTTCCAAATCGAGTCTTTTCGTCGGAAATCGGTTGAACAACTTGTACTTGAACATCTGTAAACAATTGCTAAATTTATATATATAAATGAGACTAAAATGCGTGTTTACATTGGGAAGGACTTCGACGATGATGTTCTTCGATACTAATTGTTGGATCGAGGAGAATTGAGTGCGGAAAAATTGTTTGAAGTTTCTCTCGAACATCACTCAACCGTTGACCTGGTTCTGATCGATAAACAAATACTTGATTCTATGGAAGAACAAAAGAGCGTTTCAAATGGCAAATTTCTCCAAAAACGCTTTCATTTTACTTGAAGGAAATCATGGAAACCAATTCCATAACAGCCAATACGAAAATATTCTTGTTCAAAACGTTGTTTGTTCACATCCATAATATGGACATAAAGTCGAGCTTGATTCAACTACATCGAAAGGAAAACAAAGCGTTGATTTCGTTTATTTATAAATTATTTTTCCTTACTAATAATGAACTGAGATTATCGTATTCAAAAGATTGTTCATATTGAATTTGTAATTCTTTACAAACTTCAATTGCTTTTTCCCAAGCCTAGAGAATATCAAAAACACTCTTAGCGCAAACTAATCGACGGTACTCACATCGCCTTCATCGAATAATTGAATGATTTCACCATACAGTTTCTTCTTTAATTGATCATGTGTTTTCATAGTTGAATGAATTCGTGAATATTTCAGATGAACTTCTTCAAGAACTTTCTCCGGATCCCACTAAAAATCAAACAAAACAAATAAACAACGTCCTTTTTTCTTCAAAAATGGTTTTAATACATCAAGTAATCTCGCATGTAACATCAACGTATGGCCAGCTTCGATTTTATTCTGTAGACGACAATTCATTTCGTATAATTGATAAATATATTTAATGTACATTGGCAGATGACCAAGTCGTTCATAGAATTCCTGGAATGAAAGGTGATAAATATGTCTATATGATCATTTGAATGTTTTCTTACCATTAAACTTCTCACACAATGCATTTGAAGATCCAAAGCAGCTGTTTCACTGTCGTTAACAGCAGCGCGTAGTTCAATTATCCGCGAGAGGAGATTATCAATCATATCAACTAGTTTCGAACCATTTCTTGCCAGTTTCTTCGCCTTGCAAAAATCATCAATACTAGAAGCATCCACTAAACAAAATCCATTTCGTTAATTTCCAATACATACGCGTTGATTAGATATTCTTTAAAATGTTTATCAACCAACGGTTCATTGGCAAATCGATCCATTACAGTGACAAATTCGTTTTCGAATGTTGATAGATTCTCTTGGTGTTTATTAATTATATAGATCATATCGCATAGCACCCGAATCATCGCTGCCCGAATATCTTGAACAGGTATAAGGCTCACGCGAATAACTCCATAGATTTGATTAGGAATGAAATGTAGTTTATGTTGTTCATCTAAATAAACAAACGAATAGATTGTTGATCTTCTGTGGCGAAAATCTGTTCAACAAACATAAACAAAACCACATGGTTTTCAAGTCATTCGACGCCTCAATACGTAGATCTTTGTATCGCGATAGAATTCGTTTCCGTTTGTTAGATGTAAATGATTCTAGTTGTAAACATGGTTGAATAATAAATTGAACAATCGATTCGAAATACAATTGCCATAGGACGATTGACTAAAAACGAAGAAGATCATTTTCGATAGCAATGAGTTCGATTGACAGACTTGTTCATTGAAATGAGCGAGATTTTCGACTAATCGAGAAACGAATTTATTCATTGCACGAACAAATATTCTAAACAGAAGGATAGAAACGATGTTTTCATCGTCACAGTTTCTTACGCATTTTGTAAGAGAAGCATCTCTGACCAATCATTCGAGAAAATTGGTACCGTGACAAGATCTCGAATGAGACCAAAAGCATCGAGAAAAAAATCATGTAAACTTATATCATCCATTTGGCGTAAAAATTCGACATAATGTTCATCTTCCATCGTGCGAAGTATCGCAATGACTCCCGTGGCGAAATTGATCTAAAATAATCTTGTTTTTCAAAGTCGACTTTTTGTGTACAATTTACAGCTAGATCTCGTTCTTTCACACGAATAATAAGTAAGATTTGCATAAAGACACGAAGCAGTTTTTCTACAACAATTGCGATGTCACCAGAAGTCTAATTTGATTCAAATAGTTCGGTGAACAAATAAATCTAGGTGAATATCCTTTACTTTTCGACTGAATAAATGATTCATGATATGTCCGACAATTTTCGAACATAAAGTTAGATGATCACGATCTTTCTGATCGATGAAAAACGCAGATGATTGTTGATTCACCATAGATAAACGAAAATCGTCCGAGTTTTGACGCTCTGTGATGAAATTATTACACAACATCGATGCATCCGTAACAATGACTTTCAGAATTATTGGACGACTCTCTAAATTAAGAAAAGCAATGTTAAAAGAAAAACAGATCCGATTTGGTATGCGTGAACTCACCTGGAATTTGCATGAGTAAACCACGCGCTAAATCGTTCAGGCTGCGGAGTTTTTGCGGAGTTAACCGTTTGGCTGGCAGTGCTGCAAGAAACTCGCGCGCAGTAATTTCGCTAAATAAAAAAGTTCTTTCTAGTTGGAGACATTCTTCACATACCTGAGTGTGACAGCGTTGAATACATTCGCTGTAAGAAGTTCAGTGACAACAGCTGGATAAAATCGAAGAATGAGCCCTTGTGCTGCCGATGCGTGATCATCGGAGAAAGTTAAGACTCGTGTAAACGAACGGAGAACATTTTTCAAAAGCTGATCGAATTCATTTTGATCCGCGTTATTTTTCCATCTAAATAAAAGTATTATTTTTCGACAATTTCAGTTCGGAGATTCATACTTAGCGTATAGAACACGTGAACGAACGATCAGTTTAAAAAGATATTCCAGTTGTTTTAACATCTTTACACAGTAAGCCGTCATGTTCAAATCAGATCGATTGTTTTCCACATATTTCGTCAAAGTAATATTAATCAAATGAAGTAAAATACTAGATAAACACAAACTTGAAAGCGGCAAGCCCGAAATGATGATGACTTACTTGTATGCCAATGTCGAACTGAACTTATTCTTAATATAATCATCCAAGACAGTTCGAAATGATTCAAATTGTTTCATTGAAATTAAATCCAAGATGCAAATCTACATACAAATTTAAATCATTTTCAAAAGATGTTCATGCTTTACCAGAGCGTGAAATGCCGTCTGGTGGATCTTATTCAAATCGATCGGAATAGCGAATTTTTCTTGTTCTCGTGTTTTCAATTCGTTTTCTTGTGATGTGAGAATTTCGAATAATTTATCAAAGATATTTTGTAAATTTTTCACCACTTCGGTTGCACGTTCGATGATATCCGTTGGTAGCATCATGTTAATCGTACGTTGTTCGGATAAAGTCGTGTTTGAAAGATTAATCCCGCCGAGATGATCAACGAATTTTTCGAGTAATTCAAGTAGATAAATCGACGAATCTTTCGGTGTCCATGTTAACAAAGTTAAAATAATAGCTAAATGAAAAGAAAAACGAATAGAATTAAGTTGTGCAGAAACTTTCTTCATACGTATTTGTGTTAACTGCGTGGAAACAACTTTAACTTTGACGAGAAAATGTTCACGATAACTTGGCGAGAAATAATCCGATGGTTGATAAAAACGCGACGACGCTTCATCAAGAGATAACCGATGTGAACCATTGTAAGAATCTTTTGTTAAATTGATCGGTGCACTTATCTGCACAGCTTGTAAATTAATGTATCCTGATATGTTTGTGTCTGATTTACGTTGGGTAATCTGAAGATATACATAAACATGTGCAGAGATCGAGAGAATCTTGTAAACAAACTTTATAAACAACTAAATGTCGATGACCGTCTTGAATAACTGTTCCAGCTTTTTCGATCAACGGGAGAAATGCTAATGCAAACGGTTTTTCCGATTTATCTTTAACTAAAAAGGAAATATTGAAGAGTCTTCTTTGTGAGCATCCGATTTACCATCGTTCGAGTGGCGTTGTTTGAATAGAAATCGAACGTGATATTGACGCATATCTTCTGCGCTGATAGAAAATGGAATTGCAATCTGAAAAAGGAACTTATGAGTCGTTTCAAGTGAACAATGGGAGATTTTTACTCGAAATGTTTCATTCCATTTTGGTTTGTCAGTTTTAATACAAACAATCGATCGATGAAGAAGATCACTGGTGCAATTCACACCTACATTCAGTAAACCCTACAAATAATCAATCTTTACAGTTGAATCCTCAATATTTTCTTTTCACCTACTGGAATAGGATTTTCATTTTCATCACAAAGTTCGGCTGTATATTCATAATTGCCACTTTTACTAAACTCTGCCCCGTAAATTGTGACATAGATATCATTTCGAAGATCATCCGCATTGATCACTTCAGGAAAATCAAGTTTTCGACAAACACACACATCGCCATGAAGTAAATGTGGGTAATCCGTTTTTAACTACAATAATAAATAGAACGCGATTGACTAGAGCTATCGATTTACCTCACGAAATCCTCCATTGAGGATCTGTAGTTTTAGTGTATGTTTTTTCAACAATTCAATGTCATTTGATTTTGTCATTTTTTGAAATATAGAAACCAATGTATCGCGATCGTCCCATCTAGAACCAGATCAACATTATGAGCAAAATCTATAAGGAATACACTCACGTGTTGAAACCAAATGGTACAATTAATTCCTTCTCCGATGACGATGCTTTCATTCGACTATGACAATCAAGTTGCTGAGACATGTTTATCACTTGAAAACAAAACTGAATACAAAGAATGCCCCGAAGAAAGATCATTTCTTACATGCTACCATGTAAGGTCGACGTATATCATTTGTTTCATTTTTCGTTTTCTTCAATGTATTCGTACTTCCTTCGGCTGAATCTTTGATGTTGTGATCGTTGATGTACATAGGTCCAGTCCGAATAATGTACAAAACAAGATATTTGACAGATAGAGTATTGAGACTTGTCATAGATTTCATTGAACGTGACCGACTGATATCTGTAAAAGCAACTGTATGTTCTTGCGTGCGAAGAGCTTCTTTGTCTCGAATAACAAAAGTTTCACTGGGAATTAATTCGACTCCGCTATCATCAGATGAATAATCATATAAAGTACACCATAGTTCAGTATTGTCAGAGATGGCAATGTCAATCTTTTCTAAAGTGACTAACATTGACTGAGTATTAGCGAGTTGAAAATCCGGATGTGGACGAGGCTTTTCCACATCGTGTAAAGATTTCTTTTCAATCCGCGTCAATGATTGCAACAAGTCATGAGTGCTTGTGTCGGATGGATTAGCAACATTCAAGTTTTTATCACGTATAATCAGATCTAGTTGTAAAAGTCTAATGCAAGAAAAATGAATCATTCAGTAAACAGATCATCGCATGACTTTACCGTGTGCCTTGATCTACTAGATCAACAATGGTTTGTTTTAATTCAATCAATTCTTCCTAGAGAAATATAAGGATTCGTTTGGCAATAATAATAATGGAATAGAAACCTGTGTATGAGAAAAACACATTAGTCGATGTCGGTGTCGAATCAGATCTGTCATCAGTTTTGAAACAATGTTCACTTTCACTTTTTGATCATCCTGAAGAAAATCATATGAGACGTTTTGTGGATGATTGAATTTTTATCTGTACTTTATAAAATTGTTCGATGTGATGTGCTAAGCATAGAATGATTAGAAAGAGGAAGAGAGGAAATTTCATGCAAATATACCCCATTCACGTAATATTCCAATTAGATCACTTGCTAGGGAATCTTCATTAGTAAAATTCGTAATTCTAATGGGAAATAAGTGAGCAAAACACTCGATTTACAAGCAAATATATTTACTGATTATTATCCACGATAATAGGTTTGAGATAGACAAAATTTTTCGGAAAAATTCCTGATAATTGAGGTTTATTAGCCAATGTTCCAAAATACCACTCTAAAAGGCATGTTTTTTCATTCCAGAAATTCATCTGTAACTATCGCATACCATCACATTCTTCTCGAACGTGCACACTATCACCTAACAACAACGACAATTGATCCGGTGACGACGCTGTAAACGAACATATTGCTGAATAAACAAATAAACGTAGACGATGATTGACAACAATGTAGATATGCTTACCAACTCCATAATGAAAGATAGGATTGGAGAGTTTATCTTGAAATTTCTCCCAGGTACTCATCTACAAATGAAAGAAGACTTGTTAACAAATTGATGTTCCATTTAATAACAACAAATGTTTGTTCATTGCCATTGGAATCGATGGTAATTCAATATAAAACAACAGAATGTAATTTGAGAAATGATGTGTAGACTTTTTGAGTTTCAAAGGTGTCAAAATGTTAACCAGTTTGTTTGTATACAAAGTTTAATCTTAAACAAGAATGAAGTATAGCGAATATTTTGCTTTTTATTTATTAGAAATTTTTCATTCTATAATAAATTAGCGTCAAATAATTGTTTTTCTCCGCCATACATGTCATTTTCTATTGAAAATTCTCTAGTTCAAGTTACGTTTGGCTAGAAAAACAACAAAAACATGGTTTGACATTTTCACAGATAATTTAATTATTATATATTAATGTCAACAAAGAAGATAAAAATATAAACTTATACACAGAGAAGGAAATAATTATCTAGTCATAAACTGGTTTGAAATTCGAAGGTTTTGTTGCACCAATAACAGGAGCGCCACGACGTGGTGTTAAATTAGCTACATCAGTCATTCCACTTGATACTGAATCATTTCGTGGTGTACGCGGTGTATGAGGTGATGGCATAGAATCATGGAAACCATTGGAACTTCCAGTATGACGGAGTTTGTCACGAAGCATGGCTAAGTGTTGTTGCCTTTCATTATGTTTGGATGAATATGCTGATGTTGTCGTAGCAGGTAATGGTTCAGGAGTGGATATTGACGGTACTGTTGATTTTTCTATTGGCCGATGACCTATTCTTGACGATGCTAATCGCCGTGCCTCTTCGATTTCCTTTGAAGAGAAAAAAACATTCAAATTATTCGATCTTTCGATGAACTCTATTTTTCTATTCACTCACTTGACGTTTACGGGAAGCACGTTCCTGTTTTGCCGCTATTTTTGCTTGTAAATCAGAGTCGACGGATGGTGTTGGTTTATTAGTCATAAGAAACTTAGGAACATGTCTCAATGGTGCTAAACTGCCAGGCTTAGGCGTTGCAATGATGTCAAATGTTTCACCATGACCTAACCGAGATTTTTGATGGTGTTCGACGTGTAAATTGTCAATTGGTACAGGAATTTTTGATCCCGGAGGTTTAGCTAAAAAGCAACAATATATTATTTAAGAATTCGATTTACTGAAAAGATAAAATTTACTTCTAAAAACTGGTTCAGAGTCTTCAATTCCACTGTCATTTGATGTATTGGATTTAGCGGATGGTATCTTCTTCTTTGGATGTGGATCAATTGGAGGTAAAACAGATTTCTTATTTAATGTTGGTTCTTGTACACGCGAAGTATCACTGCTTGCTCCACAACCCATGGTGTGTGTCTGGTAACTATATCAAACGTGAATGTGAAGATTGTTGTTTGATCTTTCTTTTCTCTTCGCGTTCGTACCTTTAAATTTAATTGTCATTCCATAACGACGGCGACAAACAAAATAACACGCGACACACAACAACAGTTGCAGTGCATTGTCAACTCTTGTTGTTATAGAAAAAATTTGTTTCTTTTCTTCTTTGTTCTGATTTGCCTACAATTGAGTTGTTGCTGCTGTCGTCATCGTCCTAAGAAAATATTTTTCAAGAATCGACAAAAAGAAAAGAAAAGACGAACGATATAACTAGTTGAAATATATTTTTGAAAAAACAGAATTTCTTTTTTTTTTTAAACAAGCCATTTATAAAGAATGAACATAATAATCAGAGTTACAATCATTCCACCGAATAAAAGCCACCAATCGCTCGCTGTACGTCGTTCGATTGAATGAATAACTGTCGATGATAAACCTAAGAGATTTGCCATAGATATCATTTTTTTATGAATATTTTTCAAAGTAGATCCTTGTAATTGAAGATTCGTCAGTGTTAAACGTGCTTGTTCGAGATATCCATCGACATGTGCATGTACAGAATCGAGTCGTTGAGAATATTCTAATGAATGATCGATATTAATGTGTGTTTCGCCATTAGAAGCAGTATTTGACGGTGTAAATTTCCGTTGAAGTAACAAATCTCGCTGTCGTTCAGCTTCATCTCGTTGGTGCTTTTTGGCTGTGATACCCTCGAACGCACTCTAATTCAAAGAAAAATTTTGAGATTATTTTTGTTCAGGACAAAAGAACTCGATTGTCATTCGTTCATATTGTTCACATACTTTGTAGTGCCGGATATCGTATTTGATTTCATTAACACGTTGCCTAGATTGTGCTCGTCGCTGTGCTGGTTCTTTATTGACCAAAATATCGAGTCGATCACAGATTTCCAGTAAACGTTGAATTTTATTCGCTACGACGTCACTACATGCAGCATCGTTTGTACGGTCTTGTGAATTTTCATACGAAAGCAAATCATTTTGAAGTTCTCGGATTAGGACAGACGTTTGGGTTAGTAATGAGTCCATTGCTATTAATTACGAAAATGAATTCCAAACAAGATATTTGGAAATTCAGACAACGTGTCAATGTAAAATCTAATTGATAATTAATAACAAGCCAATCGAGATTACCACTCGTACCTCAATCTGAAAAGATGACGCTAGACGATGATAAACTAACATCAGTGACAAAATTGCTACTCTCTTTTGGCATTTGAGGTATCGGTGGAGAATACTGTACGATAGTATCAGAGTTTTGATAATCAGCCAAATTTATACACTTTCTAATTAACGAACACTCTGTTGTTAATGATTTATTTATTCTTCTGTACGACAAATATAGTTATGTTGATTGACTGGACTGTATTCAATTGATTGTATTAATTATGTTTCAATCGAGTTATCTATGACGACTATTGTATATTTGATAATTACGTAGCGGTACACCGACCTCTTTTTTTCGAGAATGAACGTTTCGAGTGTAGGAAGATAGAATGAAATATCGTACCGAACAATACGTTTTTTCTTTTATAAATGATTATCAAAACTTCATTTGCGATGAATTGAAAGAGGTGTTTATCAAATGATATATGCGATGGATATTAAATTTTCAATCATTGAACAATTAAAATTTCATTCTCAAATGACTAATCCTCATCTGAATGGTTCATTTCAGACCAATTGCTGCACAAGTAAATGTTGTCCTTCAGTTGGCAATTGTCGTCTTAATGAACGATTTCATTTTAAAAAAAAGATTTTTTTCCTCTCACAATTATTCCTCTTTCCACTCGGTGATAATTCTCGTACCTTTATATCATTTATATTGAATAAGTTAACTAGCTAAACTAACATCTGTTGTTACTGTTTTATTCGTTCTTCTCTTTCTCTCTCTCTCCCCTTCGTCTGATTCACATATCTCCTTATTTGGTCATTATCAACTGGCCTGGTCCTCTCGCTTACATCGAAAATTAAATCGAAAAAAAAAGGACTGAAAGAACAAAAAAGGAAGAAAGAAAAATCATGAGTAATATACTTGCTCTCGCGAGTCGTTTTTTCTTCTACTTACTATCTGCCCTGTAATTCAACAAACAAGTGGGTAGAGAAATAGGCAGATTGTGTCAAGTTTTTGCTCTTGATTCACTCGTTCGTTTTTTTCGTATATATTTCGTGGTTGTTGTCTTATCTCAACAGTATTTTTCTTGTTTATTTTTGATCTTCGTGACCAACGTTCATTCGTCGTTCTTCGAGTTTACCGACGGCAACGCTTTTTTCTCGTTACAATTAATCAATCTAATCTTCAACATGTCTGGATCGGTAAGTGATCCTATTGATTTCTCATCTAGTCTTTCTTCGTCGTTGGACACAAATGTCTATTTAACCAAGAAGAAATGCTTGGATTACGGTCTATTCTTGACGAGAGTGACTTTGAAAGAAAGAGAGAGAGACAGTCAGAAAGGAGAGATACTTACATGCTTGTATAGGGCTATCCCCATGATGATTCATACATGCAAACAATGACACATTCTCTGGAATGGTTCTCTCGTAGATATTCTTAAAGAAAAACATCGATAGAAAAGAGAAGAAATAACGAAATCATCATCTGTTGTACAGATTCATTTTCCATTTCGACTAAAATAGACAAACATATTTATCTGTGTGAACATATCAAATGGTAAGAGATAAGAAACGGCTATTTTCTTTGTTTGAATACTTAGCCTTTTTGTCGCGCAAAACAATTCGACTTGTGTTTTTTTTCTTTTCACAGGCATCTGGTGTTAAAGTCGATAATTCCGTCATCGAAAAATTCCATGAATTTAAAATAAAAAAAAACACTGGCTATCTTGTACTTGGTTTCAGTGATGATATATCAAAAATTGTCGTATTAAACGAAGGTGTCAACAAAGTGCCACAAAACGCACCTGCAGCCGAAAAAAGTATGCTTTTCTCGATTGGCTTACCCTCGTTTCTTCAACGATATCGTTTAGATCAAAAATGGGCTGAAATGCTTGACGCCCTACCAGAAAATGATGTACGATATGCAGTCATTGATATCTTCTATGAAACCAGTGAGGGCTCACGTTCAGAAATCTATTTCATTGCTTGGTAAGCCAGTTCAAGCGCCGCATTTTGTCGCTATTCATGTGTTTTCGAATGTAGGGCACCGGATACAGCAACAATTAAACGAAAAATGTTATGCGCGTCCAGCAAAGACGCTTTGAAAAATGCTCTCCAAGGTATTCGTAATCATATTCAAGCAACGTGTAAGGCTGATCTTGATTTGGCTGCAATAATCAGTGAAAAAGTCAAATCAAAATAGAAATATACATATTTCCACTCAAAAACATTCTTAATTCCACGTTTTTCTTCATTTCTTCGCTTCTTCTTTTTTATTGTATTTTGATCACCGTTTAAAACATGCGATATAAACAAAACTAAAGCCTACACACGAAAAAGCAACTTTTTTGTCCTGCTACTCTTATCCTTCTTTCTTTCTTTTTGTTATTATCTGTCTGGTCGATGTTCTTCTTCTATTTCTTTATCATTTTTTTTAAACAAAATATTACACCATCAAACATACATATAATGCATATATAAAATCTTTCTTTTATTTCATGTGAATGATTAAACAAGAAGTTTGTCCGTAGGTTTTGTGCAATGCACTGCTTCTTCTTCTTCGCTTAGTTTACTTTTCTCTCGTCATGTATCTTTTCATCTGCCTACTACGGCAATAAAACACGAAGACACATTTGTTTTTAACATCTTCATGACTCGCGTTTCTTAATTAAAATATTTTATTGATTATGAGCATTCTATCAAAAGAGAAAATGTCTAAAAAAAACAAACAAAGAGGGAACCACAGTTTTGTACAGAACAACAAGATTCTTAATTTGAAACTGATCAAACGAACGCACACAAAGAGACAAACGTATACACACCGGGCAACCAGCGCCAGATATTCTTTGTTTTTCGTTCTAATAAGTTCTTAGATAATAAAAGAAAAGAATGACAATGGATAAGATGTAGCTGAACCACGCTGAGTTGACTAGTCGAATAGCATTCGAACACTTTTCGAATAAATCTCTTTCGTCATCATGAACAAAAAAGCATTTATGAGGTCGTTCACGATATGGCGTTGTTTTCAATCGTGTGCACACATCGTCTGGCGTAAATTTCACAGGTTTACGTTTAATAATTAATTTTTCACAGAGTTGTGAAATCTCTCTTGAATGATTAACGTAAATCATCATTAGATTACTTTTCGGAATCTTTGAGATAACATAACTAGAAGAGAAAAAAAACGTCTTCACATGGACGTACTCGAATATTTACGTTTACCTAAAAGATTCCGCGATGGGCGGTGGTGGTGGCGTTGGAATTGTGGTTGAAAAATTTGTTCCATTAGAATAATTTCCATAAAAATCATCGAAAATGTCTGGTGTTTCTTTCGCTGCGTGTGTACAACTAATAACATTTTGAAACGAATTCTCTCGTTCTACTTGTTCCCAAGCTGCATTGTTATCCTTTGCTGGTAATGGTCCTTGCCAACCTTTCCACGTGGAGACATACAAGTTAAATTCTTCAATACAAGAAACAGGTGTTCTTTCTAAGGTATCATTATCTATGCTCATGTTCGCTTGTTTGGCATCTAGTACTGGACGACGAAAGTCAATGTGTGTAAGAAGTATATTACTAAGACTTTCAAGTGTATGAGTTGCAGGAGGACGTTTAGGTCCTGTGGAATTTTGATTGGCAGCGTTTACTTTTTTCGCTGCGTAAGTCCATTGTGGCCAATAGATTATATCGCGAACGAGAACCCTATAAAGGAATGATTGATTCAGCAAAAGTCGAGAGAATTCGAGAAATAAGTTACATCGCTATATGATTGATTAGATTCCATAACATGACGGAGATGGTTTGAAGAACCTAAATGGAACGAAATAATGCAGGTTTTAGTCATGAAACGGTGAGAATACATACACCACGGAATATACCACCTGATGAACTTCTCTCATATCGTATTGGACGTTTTAAACAAACACCTTGAAAGTCAACCATTTTGATTCTATAAGAAACAAGAAAAAGAGATCGTTGATCTTTGTTCGATGCATAAAACATACTCAGAGAAAATCTTTTTTGCGACTAAATCTTGCATGAGTGCACCTTCAAATTCGCCAAGAAATTTCCCAATATCTTCCTGGAAACACAAAACCGAGATTATGAATTTATTCACAAAGACACAACGTACTGTTCTATCTGTTCCTTCCGGTTGACTGATAAACATAATGTAGCCATTTTCATCGATGATATAACAAATACCCGAATCCATCTTTGCCTACAAACATTCAGATTAGGATTTGTAACGGAAATTGTCAACAAGATTCGTACGCAAAGATTAGAAAAGTGTGTCGATCTGACGGTTTTATACGGTAACATAACTCCAAAAACACCAAACGGAACGTTCTGTGCACTTCCTGTCGTTTTCAGCTTGACTTTGCTCGATGTCTTATTCATCCAAAGTCCTGTGGTGATAACTAAGTACATTTGGGTTATAAGTGTATTTCCTATTGTTGACGTCGTCGAACCGGTAGTTGTTTCTAATTAAACAAAAACAAATCATATAGATTTTTCTGACAATAAACAAACAATCTTCAATGAGCATTTGTTTAGTCGGTTTAAGAAAAGCTAATTACAACAAATAGAACCCAGATCTAATTTACATAAAACCAGTACCTGTTACATCGATATGAGTCTCATGCATCATTTCTAGGTAACAAATGAATATTCGTTATGGATTTCGAAAGAAATAGTTTGTGAAGTCAATGAAAAGGAAAACTCTATATACATACGTGCATTCATTGACGGAACACTTGATACACCATAAAAGAGAGAGTAAACATGGTGTTCACCATCAATATGGTCCGAACCATAGACATAAGTTGCATTGATTGTTCTTTCGTAATAACTTGCTTCGATCGAATTAGGATTCGCGTCGCTGAATTGTCTACGAAAGAATACTCGACTGAGCTTTTTCTTAAAATTCAAACTAATTCATACTTACCGAATATGATCTTCATTGGCTAGATCGTACAGTTTCCAATATGCAGTTATACCTGACCGTGTTGCTAAGAATATCCAATGTAGATGGTTTTCGTGTTGATATTCTTTGAATTGATCATGAGCAGCTTTATCCAGCGGTTGAGGATTCTCAAAGCCTGTTATACCGGTCTTTGTCCAATTTTCAAATTTGCTCATAATGTACAATTCTTCTACCATCATGTAGATCAGTTCTTTGCTAGCTTTGTATGGGCCTGAAAGAAAGGTTTGAGGTAAAAGTGAAAGTGAAACGAAAGAATGGAACAAACATGAACGAATTTTGTTCTTTTCAATTTTTTCTTGAAGGTAACCACGAAATGATTCTTCAGTATCGCCGATATCATCTTCAGCTGTAGAATTACAATAAATCCAATCGGCAATACGAACATTCCGTTGTCGAATAAAACGAAGTGCTAAATAGTCAATAATATGTCTTCAAAATCATCATCTTGACAAAATTCATTTACCGATTTGAACTTTTTCAGTTGCAGGATCAGTTGTTCGAATATCGTATTCACCATATGGAGAACGTACAACAATACCCAAACTAAAACCCAAGATCACATGATCTGTTTCTCTACAAACTCTTTCTTTCTCATACTTGAATGGATTCGATTCTTTATCGCCTAGTGTTGCATAGTAATACTTTTGTTCGACTTCTTCAGCTCGCCTCTAAAATAGTGAATAGGGAGTCACGTTTACTTATTCACTTTCGAATTTACCATATCATCCAGATGTTTTTTCACACGAGCTGTTGTGTGATTTTCAACACATTGAATCATCTCTTTTCGAATCTGAAACATTTGAAATAGTAAATCTCAAGAGAATTTCATTGATATTACCCCTTGAATTTTGCTATATGGTAGTGGCTAAAATGAATTAATGCGTATAATTTGAGTATTGATTTGAAAAAAGGAAACTCACATGTACAAAACGCATGAGATTTGCAGGAATTTCTACCATGTCTAAGTCAATCGAATGATAATTTTGTTTTCGATAGGGGCCCAACTATGAAGTATAAAACTGTATTTTGTTTATTGAAACAAATCCGAATACACATACCACAGGTCGTAGATCGGGATGAAACATTAAATAACCATTATGATTAATCATAAATGCATAAGCATGAACACCGAGCTAAAACAAGAAATTATGCATTTATGTCACATGGCAACGCAATGCCTTCGTCCTACCCGATATTTCGGGGAAAACTCTTGTAAGAGTTTAACAGGAATATCAACACCAACTGCACCCAATAGTATAGTTGCATCTTTTTCCTAACAGAATCGACACAAACAGAATTTCGGTATTATCGATTCAAAAGAATCAACCTACATTTTGTGGCGGGCTAAGAACGGGTTGAGCAATTGAAATCATCAGATTGACAGGCTATATTAACAAAAACCCATCCCTAAGTTATTTCCATTGATCAATCAACACTTTTACCTTTGATTTATTTTTGAATTGTTCCATCGATACGGACAAGTCAGGTATTTTATAAGCAAACCATTTATACGCTTTAATTGGCATTGTTCTTTCGACGTCGAGAAATACACTACTCCAGACAGTCACGTGATCATTAAACATGGCGATGGGACGTGCAGTGACGGGAATATAATCTTCGACGTTTTCTTGAATATCTTCTAACGTTGAGACATGAGCAAAATAACCTAGAGAAATATTTTCGATTAGAAAACATTGCGACATCGTTCTTTTTCCTTCGCTTCTACTTTCTAACAGTTTTTCTTCGTTCCTACTCTCGAGAGTATTGACGAAATTAGTTTTATCTTTGTTGATTCCGATCTCTCAATTCTATTGAACAAATCCAATTACATGTTCCTACCTTTATTAGCACAGGACATCCATCGAATATGTTTCGGATCACCCAATTCTCTTCCAATCATATACGTGAACACTCTCGTCTGAAAAAGTCGAAATTTGTCTGAAGATTTCTTGTTTTTTAAGAATTACTTCATAAGGGTGGCATGTCGAAACGTTATTAGGCGACCAATTACGATTTTGAAAAACATTTAATGCTGTTTCAGTCGCACCGTCAGTAACAATCATAATCATTTTATTGCAACCTGTACTATCCAAAAAGATTGGTTCATCTGGCTCATATTTTGTTGCTAGAAACATTCAAATGCGTTTTCTTCTTACACATTGACAAGTTTCTACTACAAACCATTCAAATCTGATGGACAAAAAGCTTCGCGTTCAGCATCCGTTTGATTATCCGATGATAAGTAATGACATTGACATAGCAGTTTGGCATTTTCAGTACGAGAGATGTTCACTCGTGCATTATCTAATAAATCAAATGCCTTACTAAGTGCTTTAGAGAAATTCGCTATGTTTTCAGTGTTGAAACTTGAATTCACAGATGTTCGAAATTTCTAAAGTAGATTTTCAAGATTCGCACAACATCCATCGCCCAATTCAATTTGCTTACATGTCGATTTTCGACTGTTGCTTGAACCAGTCCATCCGTAAAACAATCGTCAATAAAGTCTGCATTTTCTTGAAACTAAACAAAAAGAAATCTCGATGAACATAAGATAATCTTTCATATTCTCACCTTGATAATTTGCACAAAATCGTCATCGGATAATGTATCAAGTATTGTTTCGACTGTTTGAATAGCAATCGAACGTTTCAATCCAGTCATCGATCCGCTTGCATCAATCAGTATGATGACATCACGGGGCGATGATGTTGCTCGAATGTACCAATTTTGTACACGACAATCGAACAGATCAAGTTCTTCGGTGTCACCTTCGGGATATTCCCATTTATGGCCAGGCCATACACGATACAAACCTGTTTGACTACAAAAGTATTGCCAGGTCAATTCAGGATCTTGATTATAATTGTCAATAAACGCTTGATTAAGATTATATGACCAGTTAGCCGTTAGAAGAATCTCTTGATCTAGTGAAGAAACAGATCGATAATGAAAGTTGTTTTTATCAGATTCGTTACTCACTTAAAGAATAAATAATTGTTGGTACGTGAACAGTACTATGAGTAACATTAACAAATGCTCCACCGAAATGTTTCTTTTGTTGAATAACTAGCTTTTTCAATAAAACACTAAATCAACAATGAAATCTTCTCTCTGCAAATCGATTTGTTCCTTTTCTTACTCTTCTTCGTTTTTTTCTCCAGTAGACTCTTCATGTGCTACTTCATGTGTCGAAGGTTCATTTTTGTTTGTACTCGTAGATTGTGGTGCACGTGTGGATAAGCCACTTGTTACCGTTTTCTTCTCATCATCATCGTTCATTGTAGCTTCTGGTGTTGCACTTGTTGTTGACCGTGCCAGAGAAGCATTTTCATACGTGGCATTGAGAATAACATTGATCACATCTTTCGAATTCAAATATCCATGTTGCTAAATAGAACAAAGCATTAGATCAAACACATGTTTTTCGTGCTTCTTTATTGTTTACTGACTAGCATATATGCAGCAGTGATATTTCGAATACTAGTATCTGTTTCAGCAAACTTCCGATAGGATTGTTCGCTAATACTGACAAGATTTCTGATTGCTTCGAGTTTTTTCATAATGGCACGATTTGTATAATTAGCCATTTCAGTAACAAGTTCAGTTAGGTTTCGTTTTTCAATAATAAAAGTATTTAGTGATTGAGTATAAATCTGTCGGAGAGCATGATCAGTACTGCGTAATGTTATAGAAGAAAACTGTTCGGTTAAACGAACTAATTGATCACGAAGATATTGATTTGTTTTCGCTGATATAGTCGTTGATCTAGAAAGAAAAACTTGACGAATCAGTCGACAATTTCTCGAATAAAATTAGTTACAATGATAATAAACTTGACGTGTTTGTAAAAGACACATTTGGAATATCTCGAAAAGTCGATTCTTGTGTATTACCATTGATAATATAAATTGAAAGAAATAAAATCGATATTTTCCACCTTGAAATCATTGTGAGAAGATTTGAATGTCGAACTATAAATGTTGTCACATATTGCTCAATGAGAAAAACTTTGCGCGTGTTTGCGATTGCCTTTCTTTTCTCGTTCTGCGACTAGAATAGTATACATGAGTATTATTATGAGAAAATTTTCCTGCCTTTGTCTTCTTCCTTTCTCTCTTTCCTTCTGTTCTGCACTTTGGCGTCCACATATTGTAGATACTTGCCTTTCCATCTCGTTTTTTTGCTTACTCTTCCGCCTTTTCCCACATTTTCTTTATCCGCATCGTCTCAAAGACTTCTTTTTCTCCTACTTTTTCTTCTATTACATCAATTACTAGCTTCTATCTTGTGTCATGCAACAGAGCAAATGATCGCAAAAAGAAGAAGAAGAAGAAGAGAAGAAAAAAGAAANTGTCGAAACACATTAACATTCATTCGTCAGATAAACTCGAATGCTAACCATACCTAGATACGAAATGCCTCCCACTTTCATTTTCACTTAACCACTATTCACTAGTCGATTTATTTCAACCTTGACACGGTTCTCCAGATAGATAGCCTGTCTACCTCTAGTTCTTACTTTATGTCCTACATGAATGAGCAACTATTTGATACTTTCGTTTAGAAATTCAAGAATTTGCAAATCCTGATGCCTGCGAAAAACTTTTTTGAATATATTTATTTTTCTAGTTGTCATCCTTCAACATAATACCTTTGTACATCTATCTTTATGAAAACACAGTAGATGAATAGTAAATTTGTTCTAAGTGTCCATATGTAATATGATTTGTTTGCAGATAATAAGCCAGACATCATTGATCTGGCGAAGGAAATATGTGAACGGGGTACTGGTGGGCGTTGCATCCATTCGCTTAAGCTATCAATGATCAATTTATAGAAAATAGATGAAATCTAGTAATACGAATAAGTAGTAAAAGAACATTTTCATCCTTGCGCAAAGTGTTATAAATGTCGTTATTACTATTCGTTTTTCATACGTTCTCGAGTCAAAGAATGTAGCTTTTGATTAGGTTTTGAAATTCAACAGCATATTTGAATAGAATATTGATTCAAATAATTCATATAAAACATCACTTTCTTCACAGCCACCAACCCAATCATTTTTACTTCGAATACGCCCAATAAATGGATACTGGGCTTGGCATTTTAGCGGTGATCAGCAGACTTGGAAGATCACAATACATCTGTTACATAATCTTCGTTCTCAGACAATGACAAACATAATGTTTGTGAGTGAGTGAAGCTACAGAACAAAATTATTGGGTGGCAATGATTCGTTTTTTATGTGATCTTGAGTGGTTGCGATATGTCGAACGCCTTCATCAGAGTAGAATTATCATTCTTGAATGTTACGCATGCAATAAGAATAATTTCAGTTTCATGTCATCGGTTAACAATTCAAAAAGTTATCGTGTTATTGAGAACGTATGACATAGATGATCATGGTCGTTACAAAAACTGGGGACAGGCAGATAAGAACATGTTAGTTGATTTATTATACTATTGTACTGACAAAGAGACCACCGATATATTTAGTTTCATATCCTACAAAATAAGTGCATGCAGTTCGCTTTGGGATATACTCATTCATTTACTATAAGATATATGATTACCTACACGTATTACATGTTTTTGTATGATATGTATAAGGCAGACAATTGAAACACTGATCGACTTTGCTCATGAACTACGTATCTTTCTTAAATCGTGCTTCCTAAAAATCTTCTTTTACACGCAAGCGATGTTAGAAGATATAATATTGGTTAAAATGGTCTCTACAAGATGTAATTCTCCATGCACTTCTCAAACCGTCAACTCCCATTGCAGTAGAACACACATATTTGAATGAGAAATTCGTGTGATTAATTCCGCTATAATGCAATTGATCAACATTGACTAAATATCTCTTTCGAAGAAACAAGTTGGAAACATAACTGAACAGGAAAATGACAACACAACTGTTCCTTTATGTAGTCGAAGCTTTTAACCCTAAAATATTGTTTATTGGTTACCCCAAAACATTATTTTTGAATACGATGCGCATTAGTGTTAATCATTTTTCACGTGATATTCCATTTCCTCCTCGAATCAGAACTAGAGATTAACACTAAACAGAAAGGTGAATTCATTCATTTCGCCAAGCGTTACATCTATTCTTTTCTGGCATCATTAATTACTCCTCCATGAACTCAAGATACCTCCACTCTAACCGAGGGCAATACATGAACATGCTACTTAATACAATGCATAATACACGTGGCACTCAGCACGTTCTAGCATTAGCCGTTCAACGCGTTTCACCAAAATACCTGAGCAAACCGTTGATCGCCACCATCTTTTTACCATAACACGCGCAATTCAATGCTCAACATAAAGCTAGCCTCGCACTATTCACACAGCATCAGGATATCTGATTGGTTACACCGATCCCACAGCCCCATGTTCATTAAGTCATTATCTAACTTCGACCATTTCCAGCGCGATTCCCGAAACAAACGCACTGCGTTTTGCAACTTGCTACCATACTCACTTCTCATGTGATGCAGCGTGGTGTGAGTGAGATGTGATGGTCGTTTGTGAGTGACGATGATAGCCGAACAGAAGTGTGGTATGGAATGTTCGCGAGTGATGTGACGTAGGGTAGCGTGAGTGAGATGTGATGATTCTTTGCGAGGGAGCATGAGCGGCGAAGAGAAGTGTGGTATAGAATGTTCGTCAGCGGTGTGCTGTCGTGTGGTGTGAGTAAGATGTAATGGTTGTTCGTGAGTGAGGATGAGAGTCGAAGAAAAGTGTGGTATGGAACGTTTGTTAGTGATGTGATGTAGTGTGGTGTCAGTGAGATCCGATGATTGTTTGTGAGTGACGATGCGAGCCGAAGAGAAGTGTGCTATGGAATCTTCCTCAGTGATGTAATGTAGGGTAGTTTGAGCGAGATGCGACGGTTGTTTGCGAGGGAGGATGAGCGGCGAAGAGAAGTGTGGTATGGAATGTTCGTCAGCGATGTGATGTGCTGTGGTGTGAGTGAGATGTGATCGTTGTTTGTAAGGGAGGATGAGAGGCGAAGAGAAGTGTGGTCTGAAATGTTCAGTAGTGGTGTGATGTAATATGGTATGAGTGAGATGTGATGGTGGTTTGTGAGTTGTGGATGAGAGGCGAAAAGAAGTGTCTTCAGGAATGTTCGTCAGTGGTGTGATGTAGTGTGGTCTGAGTCAGATGTTATGGTTGTTTGTGAGTGAGGATGAGAGGCAAAGAGAAGTGTTATAGTGAATGTTCGTCAGTCGTGTGATGTAGTGTGGTGTGAGTGAGATGTGATGATTCTTTGCGAGGGAGCATGAGCGGCGAAGAGAAGTATCTTCAGCAATGTTCGTTAGTGATGTGATGTAATATGGTGTGAGTGAGATGTGATGGTTGTTTCTCAGTAAGGATGAGAGGCGAAGAGAAGCGTCTTCAGGAATGTTCGTTAGTGATGTAATGTAGTGTGGTATACGTGAGATGTGACGGTTGTTTGTGAGTGCGGATGCGAGGCGAAGAGAAGTGTCGTGCGGAATGTTCGCGAGTGATGTGACCTAGGGTAGTGTGAGTGAGATGTGATGGTTGTTTGTGAGTGAGGATGAGAGGTGAAGAGAAGTGTTATAGTGAATGTTCGTCAGTGATATGATGTAGTGTGGTTCTGAGTCAGATTTGATGGTTGTTTGTGAGGGAGGATGAGAGGCGAAGGGAAGTGTCTTCAGCGATGTTTGTTAGTGATGAGATGTAGTGTGGTGTGAGTGAGATGTGATGGTTGTTTATGAGTGAAGTTGAGAGGCGAAGAGAAGTGTCGTGCGGAATGTTCGCTAGTGATGCGATGAAGAATGGTGTGAGTGGAATGTGTTGGCTGTTTGTGAGTGAGAATGAGAGGCGAAGAGAAATGTGGTATGGAATGTTCGTCAGTGGTGTGATGCAGTGTGGTGTGAGCGAGATGGTATGGTTGTTTGTGAGCGAGGATGAGCGGCGAAGAGAAGTGTGGTATGAAATGTTCAGTAGTGATGTGATGTAATATGGTGTGAGTGAGATGTGATGGTGGTTTGTGAGTTGTGGATGAGAGGCGAAAAGAAGTGTCTTCAGGAATGTTCGTCAGTGGTGTGATGTAGTGTGGTCTGAGTCAGATGTGATGGTTGTTTGTGAGTGAGGATGAGAGGCGAAGAGAAGTGTTATAGTGAATATTCGCCAGTCGTGTGATGTAGTGTGGTGTGAGTCAGATGTGATGGTTGTTTGTGAGTGAGGGTGAGAGGCGAAGATAAGTGTCGTGCGGAATGTTCGTTAGTGATCTGATGTAGTGTGGTGTGAGTGAGAGGTGATGGTTGTTTGTGAGTGTAGTGGATAGATGTCTAGTCGGGTCACTTGTGTTTGTGTGACATGCATTAAGTTTGTATTGGAAAATATGTTTCTTAAGATTTTTATGTGCGTGTGACGCGTTTTCTGTGTTAGGATTAGGGTGTTTTACTATTGTTTGAATTTATATCAAGAAATGAAAGGTGGTACTGCATAAAGGTTAGCTGGTACACGGACATATGGTATATGTGTTTTATAGAGAAATTCGAAACTGTATTTGGTGAAAATATGCACGGGAGTCTGTGTCTAATATCTTCTTCGAGTGAGACAGATAGGAGGGATCAATAAGTGGTTTTGAGGGAAGGGTGAGAGATGATGGGCTCATTTATGTTACAAAGGGTACTTTGTTTTAGGTGTCAAATGTACTGTGGCGGTGTTGGCTTTTGCGCCTGCCGATAATGCCGTTTATATGATAATCTCTATAAGTCGGCTCTGATGTAGATTTGGCGAACAGATAAAACTGTCTGTATGGATGGTCGGATATACATGTTGATATATATGTCGAATGGTCCTCACATAATCCTCCGTCGTATTTTTCGGTATGTTTTACATCAAAAGTCGCCGCGGAGCACGTGGATAAGATAGAGTGGGAAAAGGCAAATGAGATGCTGACGAAG